CTACGAAAACATGTTTAGCTAGTATTTTTTTCCTTACGTAAAACTTTTTTCTAAACTGAGCATTACAAGTACTTAATGTTTACTATCTCATTGTATTTTTGATCGTTTTCCCTTGCCGTTAAGGACATTGGGGCCCCACGTTTGGCGCCATGTCGTCTCTCACCAGATGTGCAGATGATTCTTGCGAAAATTAAACCTATCCCCTCTAACTAACCTCAAAGGAGGAGTTTTTTTTCATTTTCAATTAAATTTAATAGTAAAGTAGCCCCCTCTTTGAGAGGTCGTAACTCCCTAAATATAAATTTCCGGGCATTAGTTTACACAGGGTGTTTCAGAAAACGTAGGCCAACGCTCGGGGGCAGATTCCTAACCGAAAAACAAGATTATTTTTTCATATCAACATGGGTTCGATTTCGCTTCGTTCTTTAGCTATAGGGTGTCAAAGTTTTAAAATAAAATATGTTTTTTTCCAAAAATCAAGATTTCCACTTGAGGGAGTTAAATGAAATTTGGAACTAACTATTTACAACCGAATACACATTCCTAGATATTATTATGTTAAATGAATTACAGGACCGGACTTACTTGCAAGCCCTTGGATTTAATCAAAGAAAAAATTGGTTCTCCGTTGAGATCAAAAATTGACTTAATATTTTGTCGTTTTCGGTATTTTAAGGAGGTATATCGGGGTCCGAGGGAAGTGAGGAGCGCAGGGGGAGTCCTATGCTTTTCTTATGGGACTAAAGCCCGCTGCCAATTTGAAAAAATTAAATTATTTTGAAATTATTTGCGATAAACAGTATCTATATAGCAAATAAATCTACTCGTATGCACATAGCATACATATTGACTAATTAACAAAATAAAAATATCATATTTAAGTAGTTTTAAATTATATTTAATGAACGCATAAAGACTATGTAGATGTGGCAACAGCACTAATAATTGACCAGCAGTTGTACACACTGCGAACCTACAGACCTCGGACATTGGAGATATTGCGCGTCAAATTCGGGTAAAGATGCGTACGCGTTCAAAAATGTATTGTGTGTAAACTACGTACAATATAATTATTATATATAGCAAATATATCGTATTATCCTCGCGAAGATTTGTATCCTTTATTTAAAATTCGTAAATCATGTGAACTGGTAAAACAACGAGAATTATGTCAATTTAGTTCTAAAGAAATGAAATGACACTTGCGCCCATCTCTCGTCCAAGTCAAAGAAAATGTCGGATGCAATTTTGAAGGTTCTGTGATAGAAATTACATTATTACTCACTGTTCGTGTTTCCTGTTTTTAATCTATATTTTAGTAATGTTACAAACGTTTTGCAGCTATAATTAATTTTTTAGATATAAAGTTTGCAGAGAAATATTTATGTTCCATTGTTATTCGGTACAATTAATTTTATCTCAAGTATTACTAATTATATTAATCAAGTAAAGAAAACTTTATGTAATTGCTGGGCACGGATTACGATGTTTTTATAAACCTTTAAATACATTAAAAGGATTTATCAACTGTATTTTTTATTCCAATAAATATATCACAGCTTCCTAGTCTGTTTTAATTAATCTAGTTTTTTAAAAACATTACAAAAAATCATCTGTTGTGGATAATTTATTGTTGATAACAATGTACATGAGATTCAGGAAAAATGTATATGTTTGAAATCAATTTCGTCTTTCAAATGTATTTCCTCCTTGCTGTCAGCTGACTGCGACGTTACTACATTAATCCTCAATTCAGACAGAAATGCAATTATTGGTTTCTGTTTCTAATTAATACAGCTGTACTATGTTCAAAACTTACATTAGTTTTACATCAAAAATAAGATAATACTGTGTACTATCTATGGAAAAGTTTTGTTTCACAATTTTCAAAATTTTCACAAAATCACATTTTTCAGGGCAGTTATGGGCAAAAAAAGAGCCGCACCGTTCATCTTCGCCATATAAACCTATGTTAAAATGAACTTTCAACAACAATATCACAAAAACTAGATTCAAAAAAAAATTCAAAAAAATATGAAGCACAGAGGGAGCACGCAGAGAGGAAGTACATCTGTGCATTTGAGTAAACCCGTTATACCTCCTTAAATGTAATATTAAAATAGACAATTATTTATCTAGAAAACCGCGTAGAGTACTACACTACAAACATAGTCACATCCCGCAGTATGCTTTTAGGAAACTATGAACACATGCGTTAATCACAATTATTGAGTATTTTTACAAATTTGCTGGACAAAACAGGAAAGGTACATTTTCTAATGTTTACATTTTCTCCGTGATTTTTCAATGCAAAAAATTAAAGGAAGTTGCTCTAGTTTAGCGTTACGCTTCATCACTTCCTGGATGGATCTATTTGTTTTATTGTCTTATTAAAAGTGCGATTTCTTGTCTATAAAACGCTTGCCGTAATACTGATTAGAAACTGCAAAATTGGGGCAAAATTATATTCAGAATATATTAGTTTATGTTAATGTATGTAATTCTACAAAAACTTCTCAATCAATTACTGGTATGGGAAATGCAAAAGCCAGGAACATTAACATCTCCTTTCACTTCATGAATGTTATTTACGAAGTAAGTTTTAAACATGTCTTTTTACTTTTTATAAGCAAGTATATGTCTCTGAGTAAATTAATTAAATCTACAATTTATGTTTCTGCAGTATTTTTTTACAATGTTACAAAATTGACAAAAATCTGATTTCATACTTGTACTTGTTTTAGTTAAATACTTTTTTATATAAGCATAAAAATATGCAATTGTATTTTTCTTTTACTATTAATATTCTTGTCAGTTTAGTCAATATTCTTTTAAACTTGAGTTAGTACGAGGTCTGTTCAGAAAATAACCGAACTTGTCTCCTTCAAAGTACTCCTTCCCCTATTCACACATTTTTCCTAGCGATGTTTCTATTTCTCGAAGTAGCCCTAGATAGCTTCATTTGAAATGGCCTTTAAAATCTGCGACTAATTTGGTTTGATGTCATCAATGGTCTGAAAACGGCGCCCTTTCAGCACTGAATTTAATTTCGGAAACAAGAAAAAATACCAAGGAGCCAGGTCTGGCGCGTAGGGAGGATGAGGGAGGATAGTAATATGATTTTTTTAGTATAAAACTGACGAATTGAGAAAGCTGAGTGTGCGGGAACATTGTCATGGTGCAAGAACTATATGTTCTCTCGCCACAACTCTGGTTTCTTTTTGCAGTTTTTTCACGTAATCATTGTCTTCATAGTATGCATAGTTTCCTGTTTCACCTTGAGGCAATAATTCAAAATGCACAATTTCATTAAAGTCGAACAAAAACAGTGAGCATCACTTTGCCATTAGATCAAGACTGACGTGCTTTTTTGGGGTATGCAGATCCTTTGCCAATCCATTGTGCCGATTGAACTTTTGTATGTCGTAGCCATAAACCTAGCTTTTGTCTCTCGTTATGATATTTTGAATGAATGTTTTATCATCATTGGATTGTTCAAGGAGTTTCCGACATCCTCGCGATTTTATTTCTGTTGTTCGGTCATCAAATGAGGAACAATTTTTTTCTCAATGCATGTTCAATTTTTCAAGCAAAATTTCATGGTATGGCTCAAATTGAGATGTTAACCTCTTCTGCAATGGGCTCATTCCGCAATTTTTTTTTATTTGCTTAACGGAAAGAAATTGCGATTTTAAATCAATAGTCTATTAGTCTCCACTTTGAATTGTTTTTTAAATATTTTTTATTTGAAAAATTACTTATTTTGAAAGTAACAAAACTACCCTGCGTAATTTAGGTATGTAATAAATACGTTTGTATCATCTAGAAACACTATACACTTGTGTTTTCCATTGTTGATTTTTTTGTGAATATTGTACAAATATCTATAGGTACTAAGTATTTATATAAAAATACATAATAAATATTATATTATTAATATATTTATAAGGTATTAGGTAGATTTTATATAGTTTCCATGGGAATAAAAATAGTAATAAGAATTTTGTATTTGATTAGGTAAATCTTTGAAACCTGTGACAGAAACGGTTTCATCCAATTAAACGCAACATCCTTATTCTTAGTTACTACTCTTATTGTACAAAAACATCAAAACTTTCGCTACAAACATAGTTTAAAGAAGTTTTACACGTTATTGAAACGTAACCTTTGCATTTTCACTCCCCTCATCTCAGCACTGATAAAGTAGTGGTTTTTATTAAAAAAATCCATAACAAACCTACTTCTGGCAAGTTGAAAGAATCTGTTTTTACGAAATTTGCTTCCATGTTTTAAATTGAATGTGCACAAACGCTAAAACATTCTGTAGATGCAGAAAGTCATCTGGAAGTGGCGCCAAGCCGGCTTACCGTCCCATGCGGTGACGTCATTGCATTGCCACGGCTTCGCATTTTAAAAATCGTATAGTTGAAAACCGCTCAACAGATTGACTTGAAATTTTCAGGATCACCTAATCACGAGCAATACTTGCGTATGTATACAAAATAAGAAAGTTTTTGAAAATTTTCTGAATGACTCCATTTCTCTGACAGCGATTTGCACGCATCAAATCTTTGACTTTCTAAACGTGAAAGTCATCAGTTGATGTCGAAGGCCTTCCTGGTAGAGTATCACCTTCAATTGACTGATGACCACTTTTAAATCATGAAAACCATTCATAACATTGCATACAACCCAGAGCTTGTTTCAAAAGCTGATTTAAAAAGTTACAAATGCGAAATATTACATTGCATCGTTGTTCCAAGCAATCGCACGTTTCAAAAATCGTCGCTATCAACAATTCAAGAACATTTTCGTTGGTAGCATAGAGCTGCGCATATCATTAAATATCTCCATTAGCGCGTAATTAAAAATGTTCGGTTATTTTCTGAACACACCTCGTAAACCTAAAATAAAAATACTTATATTATCTAACGGCGTCAATGAATAATTTATGAGGTATTATTATTAGTGGCAGGTGATTTATTTGGTTTTATTTACAGTTGGTGTGGCTCTCCTGAGTGCTCCAATTGCACCCAGACCGATCGTCGAATTCAAGGCAGATCATCCCTTCATATACTACCTCAAAGACAAACAGACTGGAGTAGTTTTATTCTTTGGAAGATACAAGGGACAATAATTTCAGGTAGAAATATATTATTGGACTGTTTAACCATTCTCTTAATTTAAGGAACTTTTTATTTATTTCCTAATCAAAAGAAAATTTAAATTTCAGTAAATTAATATTTATTGAATCGTTTTTAATTTTCAGCTGAGCCATCGAAGTGAAATTTTTTATTATAATCCATGTTAGACTTTCAGCCGACTAAATATTTACCAAATTAAACATTTTTTTATTTCACTTTTATTTATTGGACGTTTAAGTTTTAAATTTAGATTTAGAACTTATTTTATATTATGTAATTTACTGTGGTCAATAAAACTTTTATAGAAATATTGTATTTATTTTTTTCTTTACCAATACTAAACAGTAATCTTCAAAGTAACACAAAATAAAAACACAGATCTATGGAAAGTTCAGTTGAAATTGACAAAGGAAACTTTCCATGAGAACTATCTCGGTTCTCCGAAAACACTATTTAGCTTTATATGTCTTTGGGGTCGCTGAATCCGATTCCGAACCTTAACCCGATTAACTCTGGGTTGAGGTCACTTCAAGGTCAAATATAGAGAATCAATTGCCAACAAAGTAAACCAATATATCTATACCATTTGACCTTGAACTGACCTTAACGCAAACCTGATCGGATCAAACGGACAACCGATTCGGATTTACCGACCCCAAAAATGTATAGATATGGAGGTTTACTTTGTTGTCAATTGAATCTCTACATTTGACCTTGAATTGACCTTAATGCAGACCTGATCCGATCAAACGGACATTGAATTCGGATTAAGCGACCCCAAAAACAGATTGATACAATGATTTACTTTGTTGGCAATTAATTATCTACATTTGACCTTGAACCGACCTTAACGCATACCTAATCGGATCAAACGGACACCGGATTTGGATTCATCGACCCCAAAAATGTATAGATATGTAGGTTTACTTTGTGGCCAATTAATTTTCTACATTTGACCTTGAACTGACCTTAACGGAGACCTGGTCGGATTAAACGGACACCGGATTCAGATGTAGTGACCTCAAAACCTATAGTTAGGTAGGTTTACTTCGTTGACAATAGATTCTCTACATTTGTCCTTAAAGTGTCCTTCAACCAGAGCTAATCGAGTGAAACGGACACCGGATTTGGATTCACCGACCCCAAAAACGTATAGATATGTAGGTTTACTTTGTGGTCAATTAATTTTCTACATTTGACCTTGAATTGACCTTAACGCAGACCGGGTCGGATCAAACGGACACCGGATTCAGATTTACTGACCTCAAAAACATATAGATAGGTAGGTTTACTTTGTTGACAATATATTCTCTACATTTGACCTTAAAGTGTACTTCAACCAGAGTTAATCGAGTGAAACGGACACCGGATTCGGATTCAGCGACCCCAAAAACATATAGGTACCAGGGTCTTGTCTTTCGGATATTCCACTTTTTTTGTAGGGTTGTGATTATTATCACTTTTTATAGCTAGCTGTTCACTAGCTAGAGCTAGACTAATTGAAAATAAAATAAAGAGGATAAAGTAGTATTTAATGTTAATTCAGTTGAACAAAATATTTTATTACTGTGTACTCGACGTCAAACTACATATTTCTAGGTTTAATAATAAGAAACTATAAAATCTTTATACATTTTCATTAACTTTCTAAATATATCCACATAAACAATTAGTAGTATATTCCCTGAACTTGACGGAATTGGTAAGTACGTCGAGTAAAGCGGATTTTCCTAAAATTAAATTCTCAAATTTTATTTCATAGTAATACTTTTTGACCTAAACCTAATTACCTAAACTACCTAAAAATAACACCGACCAACAAAAAAAAAATTGTGTGAACTTTACATGCGGCATATGATTTCCTGTGTATTTTTGTCTCCTGAGCACGAATCCATAGTCTGCATGGCTCCATCACCCTTCAGTTTTCCATAAATTGCTGAATACCTTCAGAAAATCGCTAAAAATCTTAGTAAAATGGAGAAATTTAGGAAGTGACAAGATCTTGACATGCGACACATGTTTTTCGACGTAATTTTCCATCCTGAATCCGATTCCGATGTCAGAATTACTCCATAAACGTCTAGTCTTCAAAAAATCGCTGAAGATCTTCAAAAAAAGGCGAATTTTGAGAAGTGACGAGATCTTGACATGAGGCATTCCCGTGTATTTTTGGCAAATGGCAAATTTGTAGAACGAGATATGAAGATCTCGTTACTTCTACAAATTTGCCATTTTTTAGATCTTGATCGATTTTTTGATGACTAGATTTTGATGGAGCAAATCTGACATTGGATTCGGATTCAGAAGGTAACAATACATCCGAAAACATATGCCGCATATCAAGATTTTGTCGCTTCTCAAATTTCGCCCATTTTTGAAGATCTTCAGCGATTTTTTGAAGAATAGAGAGTAAATCTGACCACGAATTCAAATCCAGGAGGTAAAATTACGTCGAAAAACATGAGTCACGTGTTAAGATATCCTAAATTTCTCCATTTTTTAGCGATTTTCTGAAGGTATTCAGCGATTTACGGAAAACTGAAGGGTGATTGAGCAAAACATACTATGGATTCGTGCTCAGGAGACAAAAATACACAGGAAATCATATGCCGCATGTAAAGTTCATATAACTTTTTTTTGTTGGCCGGTGTAATTGTTTTTAAGTTTCCTTTCTGAAAATTTAGATTCAAATTCTTTAAAGCCTATCCCATTAACAACAACCTTATCACCCTGTATTTTCGACATCTTACATTTTTTTTACTATTTCGAAAAATAAGGGATAAAATAGAATTACAGCATTATTTTATCAGATTCAATCACGACTTATGATCATTAATGATCATAATACATAATCTCAGAAAGAGAAAGTAAAAAAAATATAATGAAATGATGCAACTACGGACACGTAAGTTTGTGATAAACCAGCTTCTTGTAAGATATCTTGACCCCACATTCACTAAATGTAAACAAGGGAAAATCCTATTTCGAATTGATGATAAAACTGTGTAATATCTTCTAGTGGTTTATGGAGGGGAAACAAATAAGTACAATTGTTTATTAGCTGGCATATGCATAATTATTCAGTGAAAAAATTACACTGCTATTTCATCTGTGCCCAATCAAAACAGAATTCAACATATATTTAGAAGGTAAGTCAATAATGATACTTAATTCTCATAAACAGTATCTTGTGTATGAAGTCAAGTTATAACTAAACTGTAATCTCGTCACCTCTGACAAAGAGGAAAACATTTTACAAAGTAAACAATAAATATACAAGATATTCCAATGATCGCATTATACATATAACAATTTCGTTATTTCAAGTATATACTTTCATATTAATTAGGTTTATTTAGACGTATTATTTTTCGTTTTTATTTTGGGTATTATTTATTACTGGCTACTTAATAGTATACTTGTTTCCCGCTCGCAATATCATCAATTAGGTATCTGGTTTGTGGGATTAAATATCATATTATGTAGGTACTTAGATTTCTGGTATCGAAGAACATTGTTTAATTTAATTTAATAAGATTTTGTAGAAAAGTTTTTTGGAATTTGTTCGAATAATTTTTAAAATAGAGTAAAAAATACGAGAGTTGATAATAAAATATGCTTTTTTTAATTCAGCTTACTTTTTTCAAATTATTAACCAAATTTTATCTTCAGGTTGTCAGTTTTGAGGGAAATGAAGTGTCTTATTTTATTGGTCCTATTCTACGGGGTGCTGGGAGTACCAGTGGAGGATGAAGCATTACAGGAATTTGTTGCAGGAAATCACAAATTTACAGCAGCTGTGTATAAGGTAAATGTGCACTGATAAAGTATTTTTTTTTAAATTTTGCGATTTTGGGAACACGTTCTACAATGTTATCAAGAATAAGGAAAACGGATATTTCAATGTTTTTTAAGGCAATAGTTTCCAAAGTGTGGGTCGCGAACTAATGGAAGGTCACGGAAGATGGTGTGGGGAGGGAGAGGGAGGTGAGGTGGCTAAAGGTTTTACAATTTTTATAATTTTACGAAATACATTATACGAAGTTATTTTATAAATTTAAAAATAAATTAACGACAAATTAATATGCTTACTTTTTGGAAACTATTTTCTTATATTTGCAGTTTATTCTTCATCTTTAATTATTGAAATTACTATAATCCACTTTAATTTTTAAAGAATTTTCACAAATTCGAGAACATATTTCGCATTTCCAGACTATATCTCGATTTCATTTTGATAACGATCATCACTGACAAAATAATTTAGCACATATAGGGGGTTGTAAATGGCTTGAAAAATTTAAGTGATGTTTTGTTATAATAATTTTATAAAAAAATAAAATGTGAACAAGTTTTTCTTTTCTGCTAATATCTGAAAAGGTGACAAACATGTAATTGGAGCAGTTTTAGATAGATAAACTAAAATGTTCATTGTCTTATTTATAAGTAGCTTTAGAAGAAAAACGGGTGACGGGAGGAGGACCCACAAGCAAACATCTGATCTAAGAGTGACACTTACAACATAAAGTTTGAGAACCTCCGCTTTAAAGTATCCAAAACTCGCGACAAGTAACATAAGTATTATGATAATTCTGCGAATACATGACACTGATGATCTTTAGGAACCCATTATAGATTCTCTGTAATCAATATTTTCGTAGATTTTGATTTTGTATATCTGAATTGCTGAGATAACCTAGAAGCTTATTTTATTTACTTGGAAAGATATAAAAACCAAAATATCAATTAAAAGGAGGTAGCAATTTATGTATTTTATAATTTATGATATGTATTCCAGTTTTATATATAGGGTGTCCCAGAAATAAGTGCCAACCCCCACTTCAATAATTTAACTCACCTGAAGCAACAAATTTTGTCTAGTAATATTTCGGAAACCTCTTAATAGTAAAATATATTTATTTCAAATAAACAACAAATTATTATTGTTGTTGTTGTTTTCCGCTATATAAGAACATGAACCTGTAGAACTTTGAAAAATGATCTCAATGAGTTGAAAGTGTTAATACTTGACCTCCAAACTGAAATTCGATCTTTGAAATCTCTTCCGAGTAAATCGTATCAATCATTTGATTTTGAAGAGATACTTGCTGAACTTGATGACAGAAACAATCGCAAATCAAACATTCTGATGTTTGGTGTACCTGAGCCCGGTAGTGACCTGGACTCAGTCAATCGCAGTGATGCCGATAGGAGAATGGTCGTTGATGTTCTGTCTACTGTTGACCCTGATATTGAGTTGGCTGATATTAAGCCAATGCGGTTAGGCAAATTTTGTAATGAGCGAGCGAGACCCATAAAAATTTCACTCAGTAACGTCAGCGATGTTAGAAGAATTGTGAGAAACAGTAATAAACTGAGAAATCATAGACTCTATAAGAAAATATTCGTGTCTTTTGATCGTACCCCAAGACAGCTCCAACATTATAGACAACTCAAGGAGGAACTTGCTGCGTTGCATAAAGATGGTAAAACAAATTTCCGAATAAGATATGTTAGAGGAGTCCAAAAGATTGTTGAAGATTTAAACTAAATCCGCCCAACAGCAGAAACAGCGAGTATCTAAGGGAATTTCTGTGTTGTTATCAGAATGTAACTGGCCTGAATACTAAAGTACTGCAGTTCTATTCCACTGTTTCTCAGGGTGAATTTGATGTTATTGGTTTAAGTGAAACTTGGTTACAAGACAGTGTGAATAATAGTGAGTTATTTCCGAATATATATAATGTATATCGATCTGACAGAAGACTGCTCAATTCTGGACTTTCTTCTGGTGGCGGAGTACTCTTAGCATGTAAGTCTGAAATCAGATCTGAAAAGCTAGACTTAGCTCAATTTAATGTTCTTACTCTAGTAGATGTGATAGGCTGTAAATGTGTCTTTAATTTTAGTACTGTTTATATTTTTGTAGTCTACTTTAGGCCTGGTACGACTGTAGATCAGTATTATTTATTTTTTGAAATATTTGAAAATTTAGAGTTTTTGTATGGTGAGCAAATGTTAGTTATGGGTGACTTCAACATTCCTGAGGTCGTTACAAACGACTTTAATAATTCTAAAGTGTCGTTAGTAAACAATTTCCAAGCTTTTTTTGATCTTAATCAATGTAATACAGTGTATAACTCACTTCATCGTCTGCTTGACTTGGTTTTCTGTAATTTCAGCTGTTCTATATCCGTAATAATGCTCCTCTAATTTCAGAACATAACTATCACCCTTCTTTGTTTATCATATGTAGACTCAGTGATAGACTAAAAAGTTTTCCGCAAAATAACGATCAAAGAAGCTATAACTTTGTCAAGGCCGACTATGTTGAGTTGTACAATGCCCTTTCTCATGTTGATTGGTCTTTTCTACTGCATTATGATGATGTCAATTTAGCAGTAGCTGAGTTTTATGCTACCATTTACTCAGTTCTGGACACTTATGTGCCACTATACAGAAATACTAAGCCGAATAAGTTTCCTAAGTGGTACACTTACGAAATAAAACAGAATATCAGAATGAAAGACAAGTTTTTTGCCAAATTCAAAAGGACTAACTCAGAGTACCATCTTGGGGAATTTAAAAGGCTTAGAGCACTCGTTAAGAGGCAGATTAAGGTAGCATACGACAACTATATATTGTGTGTTCAAAATGCTTTACCTCAAGATTCTAAGCTCTTTTGGTCATATCTAACGACAAAAAGAAAATCAACTAGAATTCCGGGAGACATCAAATACAATGGTCAAATTTATACTCAGCCTGAGGATATTGTAAACGCTTTTGCCAATTTTTTCAACGATGTTTATTTACCGTATGATCAAAGCTTTGTTGACCTCACACCAGATTTTAGTTTTAATTATAACGAAACAATTTCTTTACCATTTTTTGAGATCCAAGAAATTGAAACTTCTATCAGGAAACTTAAACCAAGATTTACTTCCGGTCCGGACCAGATCCCGGCTTTTTTAATTAGGGACGGCATTTATGTATTTTCATTGCCTCTTCAGATGATTTTTAATCTGGCGGTCAAAACTTGTATATTTCCTGATTTTTGGAAAATGGCTAGAGTCTGTCCAATTCTTAAAAATGGTGACATTTCATTGGTTAATAATTATCGGCCTATAGCTTTGTTGTCAAATTTTGCCAAAGTGTTCGAAGTGTGCCTGTACAACCGTATTATTCCATCCATCAGACCTTTGCTTTCATCTACTCAACATGGATTTTTAACCGGTAAATCTACCCAAAGTAACCTGCTAGTTTTTACTCAATATTTATCAAATATTTTAGACTCTCATGGCAGGGTAGATGTAGTCTACACGGACATATCTAAGGCTTTTGATCGGATAGATCATCGCATTCTGTTGAAAAAGCTGGGAGGAATTGGTTTTAGCCCTGCATTGTTGGACCTATTTTCGTCTTACATAAAAGATAGAGTCTACTTCGTTGCTTTTAATGGATACAAATCTCAGCGACTTACTGCAGCATCAGGCGTCCCCCAAGGATCCAATTTAGGCCCATTGCTCTTCCTAATTTATATCAATGATATTTGTTCCCTCTTGAAATGTGATAATCTAATTTTCGCTGATGATTTGAAAATATATAGAAAAATTGATGATACCTCAGATAACTTAATCTTGCAGAATGATCTGGCCAATATTGAACTGTGGTGTAAGAAAAATAGGTTAGAACTTAACGTTGCTAAGTGTAAGGTGGTTACATTTACCAGAAAGATTAATTTTGCGAAATATATATATAAAATTAATAATCAGAGTTTGCAATCTGCGGAAACAATCAAAGATTTAGGAGTTTTATTTGATTCCCGTTTGAGTTTTGTTGATCACATTTATCAAATACAATCACATGCCAGGAAAATGACCGGGTTTATAGTCCGCAATTGTCATTCGTTTACTAATATCAAAGCTTTGCAAATTTTGTATTATGCCTATGTTAGATCGAAGCTTGAGTATTGCTCATTGATTTGGAATCCCTATTACCAATTACATTCTGATGCCCTTGAAAATGTTCAAAGGCGTTTTTTGAAATTCTTGTATTTTAAGTCTACTGGTATATATCCGGCTCAGGGCTTCGATCACGATACATTATTAGATATGTTTAACTTCCAAGCTTTAGAAACCCGCAGGCGTTGTCAGTCGGTAAAATTCCTTTATAATCTTATTCATAATAAAATCGATTGCCCAGATTTGCTAGAGCAACTAAGTTTTCTAGTACCACGCGCTGAGATGAGGAATCATGCAACTTTTTATTTGCCAAGGGCTTGCACAAACTTATTGTTAAAGTCCCCAGTTTATTTTATGTGCAAGACATTTAATTCTATCTGTAACACTTGCGATATAAACGATTGCTCGGTCAAAATGTTATGTATGAGTATAGTAAACCATGATCGTAATTGATGCCTCTCTTGCTTTAAGTTACATGTCTTAGGTTAAGTATATTCATTTAACTCCTACACTTTACCGAACTATTGTATCTTTCTTCTTTTTTTTTGTTTTTTGTTCTTTTGATGTTATTGAGTTTTTTATATTTATATTATGTACTATTTCAATGTAATTTAGCTCTATAAATGGAATTACTTCTGTTGGGCTAATAAATTATTATTATTATTATTATTATTAACATGAGTTGAAACGCCAAGTTGAGGTAATAATGAATAAAAAGAAACATAAAAATGGGAAGATAAGATTTATTATTTATTTCTACCGCTTATTTCCCGGATGCTTTATCATAATGTCAAGTGGCTCTCGTTATTACTATAAATTTAATAATGAATATTATAAACCATGTTTTGTAAACAGGATGATTATGAACTTATTAAAAAAAATTAGGACGCATAGGGTACTCTTAATACAATTTAGTAAAGAAAAAATAAAAAGGGGCAGTTCGAAAATGAATTAAAAATACGCTTCTGTACGGCACTGGAAACGGGTCCACTGTAAAACCTGACTTCGCACAAAGCGGCATGGCAGTAAAGTGTGATAAAAAGGGAGAAAAACTTGAAAGAATTTCGCATGGAAAGAAATAAAAATAGAATTTTATAACACCTATTTTATATCAGCAAATTCAGCTGCTTTTGTCGCTATTGTTATTATTAATTAATAAAATTAATTTGTGGTTTTAATAAAATAATTTGACATACCTGATGTTACAACAACTGTTCAAAATTTTGTCCACCGCACCGATGTGTAAACATTTGGACCCGTCTTACACAGTTTCTATGAACTAATACAAATTAATGTTGTCTTGCTTCACCATATCACAAATGCTTCACCATAAATTAAAACGATATCCATCAACTCCGAGTTGCTATACACAAAAGACAGTTTTGACACTAACTACTAAAAAACTATTGTAAACACTATCGCAACGACGATTGTAAAAACGGACTTCAGTATTCTGAGTCGCTGAGACCACGTGGTTCCCCACGCTCTCCAATGTCGCTAGAGGCTACAGTTATCCAGCAATGTAATTGTCGAAAGTACTACAACTTCAATAATTTTTTTTCTCGGAAACTATAAGGATTTTACAAAAATTTTTTTACGATATTGACTTTGCCGCATCTATCCCCAAATTTTTTTGAATAAGTTGTGAATCAGTCCAATGGGCAATGAAGCTGTTTTAAAATAAATAATTTTACTATTTCAGGAAATTTTAAAAAAACAACAAGGCAACTTAATCGTTAGTCCGCTGTCAGCTGAGGTAGTCCTAGCTCTCACCAACGAAGGTGCAAGAGGAGAGACAGCCGCAGAACTGGCGGCAGGCCTTTCTTTGCCCAATACCAAAGAAAAGACACAACAGGCAATCAAATCTATATTACCAAATCTCCAGAGATCCGAGGAACGTTTGAAGCTGCTCAGTGCCAACAAAATCTACACCGACAAAGACCTAAAACTTGAAGATGACTTCAAGACAGTCGCGGCTACAGTTTATGAATCAGGTAAAAACAGAAAATCCGTTGGAAAATAAATTCCAATATACTAAACTAAATATTCTTGTAACATACCGACAAAATGACGATACAGGGTGTGTTTTAAGTCCAAGTCATAACTTCCGGAGATTACTTCTTGGGTTATTTTAGATCTCAAAGTGGGTAGATGTGAAGTAGGGGTTTAAAATCATTGATTTTCGACAAAGGATGAAATATAAAAAAATATCACATTCATTGAAGTGTCTCCGAATATGTTTCATGTAGCTAAATAGATTGAGAATTCAGCTAATTATCGATGTATTTCAAACAAAAAATTACAAAGGAACTTATCCACTTAACAATAGCTCCGACACTGGTACTAATACTGACAGATTTGTGCACCATTCAGTGAATTTTGCGTTTAATTACGAAAATTATTAGCCCCACTCCTCAGTCTAACATAAGTTAAATATTTCACATTTGAATAAACGTGATATTTTTTAACTTCTCTGATATCTCTCGAAAATCAGTAGTTATAGATTAAGCTTTGTTGGTCTAAAGGGAACCATCTCCAGAGGTTGCGACGCAGACTCGGAAAACACAGTGTATTAGCTTAAAGTAGGATCGTATTCGATGCAAAGTAGAGCAAAAAATTGTCGGTCTTTTATCAAAGGAAAATCGTGTCATAATTTTTAGGACGCGTAACATGAACCATTTCAAATTTAAAATGAAATTGAAAGTAAAATTGGCGCATATGGCATAGTGGCCCATATAGAGGTAAAATGTAGTACATATGTGGAATTTAAAAAATATTGGATTTATAATAAATTACATTTAAAATAAATAATTTATGAGAATAAAGGGATTTTTGTAGGAACAGGGGTGAACAGACGTGAACTGATCCCTTCAAAATGTATAAAGAAATTATTCAATTTCTAAACCCCTTAAAACCGCACTGCACTGGATCCCTAGACAAGCAACGATTTATTACTTTGCATCGAATATGATCCTACTATAGTATGATAACTTCAAATGTGTGTTCAAGGTGTTGAGAGCATCGACTTCGCTAAAAAGGACGAAGCGGCATCTACAATTAACAATTGGGTAGAGGATAACACGAATCACAAAATCAAAGACCTACTCCAACCGGCAGACCTTAAAGACGACACCAAAGCAGTTTTAGTAAACGCCCTTTATTTCAGTGGCAAATGGATTTCTCCATTCCGAAAATATTTAACCCAAAAGAAGAAGTTCTTTACAACCAAAGATGATTCTGTCGACGTAGACACCATGAGCCAGAATGAACATTTCAAGTACTACGAAAGTCCAACTCTTAATGCAAAATTTTTGGAACTTCCTTACCAAGGTAAAATTGTTTTTTTGATCCAACATAACTGTCCTTGATATAAAGTTTTGTTGTTTTTTTGATCTATACTTAGAGGGATAAGATATTATATTTTTTTGGTATGTTGTCTGTCTGTCAACTTATATTTATATATTTGGCAATATAAAATACAAGGCTATGTTTTTTTCACATTGCTTTACAGTAACATTCGTTATTTAATCTTTACCCCCCAGTTTGATTTTGATTTTGAAAATAATAAAAATAATAATAATTTATCATTTTCCATTATGTAAAATGCAATGTTTTTAGGTGCTGATATACAAATGGTTATTGTTTTGCCGAAAGAAAAGGACGGGCTAAATAGCCTGGAGCAGAATATCGAACAATTGTTAGCTCCTCAACCACTTACCCGTGAAAGAGTCAACGTGCAGCTGCCCAGATTTACTATAGAAACTAAAATAAAGTTCGTTCCAATTTTACAGAACGTAAGTAAATATTTGAATAATTAAAAATGACACAAAAAAACTGAGGAAGAATATTATATTCTCTAACAAAATATGACACTAATTTAAGTTTTTTATAACTTTATATTTAGGTTATGTTAAAATTTTAACTGTAAATAGTTTTGTAGAAAGTGTTACAAATTTAACACTCATGAGTCATGAGACCATTGTTTTTTATTTCTGAGATGCGGGAAGTCATAGATAACTTTTTAAAATCAAATTTTGCCTTATCTTTTTCGAAAAAGCAATGTAATGTATTGGCTCAACGTCTCTAAAACTCAGGGGTCTTCCATTAAACCCCCATCCTTATGAAACCACTTATACAGGGTGGGCCATTAGTATGAGAAAGTAAAATAACTCCCTTGTTACTCATAATACAGAAAAAAAAGTGTATATAAAAGTTGTACAGAATCAAAAAACCTAAGGGAAAAAATTAATTTGAAACATACAGGGCGATGAGTAAAAACGGGACACGCCAAATATTATATTATTTAAATGGAACCCCTGTATACTTTTAAATATATGGATTTCTGAGAAAATTCTATATATTTTTTTCTCTACTCCTCATTCTAACTACGAGAACTAGCCCAGAAGTCGGAGACTTGTGCGGGAGAGGAGGCGACATATTAATATTATTATTAAGCAGGCCGCATTTGCGCCAAGGAACGGCTTATGTTGGTAGGCCCTAACCACCATTCAGTGCAGGAATGAGGGAAATCTGGAAAACCTCATTAATTAGGGGGGTGGTCAAATGCCAACCGGTTTCAATCTCTCATATTGACCCAAGCCAACATTCTTCCACCCTACCATACCTGCACAGAGGGTGCCAATCCTTCGTACAAGCATAGCTAATGTACGGTCTACCGGCCGCGGGATTCAAAACCCGGGCAGATAGCACACATCGATTTAAGTACTGACGCCTTAAGCCATGCGGCTATCGACCGATATATGGCGATATAAACAGTTTAACATTCATTAACATTTTAGTGCGGGGTTGCCAAGTTATGTAGAAAATCCTTCGAATTTTGGAAAAACATGACTTCGAAGAAGTTGTATTAACTTTCAACTACTGACACTTGGAGCAAAAATATTAGACAGGGTTATAGGCAAATGTTAGACAAAGACTCCCATTTTAGCTAATATCGATATTTTACAGGGCATTTTTTACAATACGATAATTTTTAGAAAGTTCAAACTTGATTTTCTAAAATGTTTCAAATGGAACACCCTGTATTTTATTGTTGTATTTTATTCACATATCAGTCCGCTTCAACTTTTATTAAGTATGTTCTACGCCTAAAGTTGTTAGTTTTTAAGATATAGCAACATTTCTGGAAAAACCTAATTTTTATTATTTTCAGTCGCACGAAATGGCTTTAGAAAAAACTGTCACATTGTGTCAACTTGTCAGTTCATAATTTATCATTCCATTTTGAGTTAATTTTATCAGTTAATATTTATTAGTTGGTATTCTATAAAATAATAAAAATTAAGTTTTTTCAGAAATGTTGCTATATCTTAAAAACAAAAACTAACAATTCTAGATATAGAACATGCTTAAGGAGGTTTATCGGGTACGGAGGTACATCTAAAGTCTGACGAGAGTTTCTGTAGATTCGCTAGTGACTAAAGTTGTAAGCCTTTAGATTTTTCAACGTTGCACTTGCACTCGCTCGCCTCGGCGTTCGCTCGCTCGTGTTCGATCATTCTGTTTGCTTGGACACCTGCAAATTTCAAATAATACGCTACGTCGAGGATAAATGAAGGATAAGTTAGTCAACGACAGCAGTTTGAAGAATTATGTATCTTACAAGTACCTAATCGATTTCTACGAGCTACATATCATACGCTTCCTTAGATATCTTAAGTATCGGTTTCCTATTTATACAAGTTGCTGTGGAAACTGTTCGTCAATTGTTGCGCATTCTAAGTTTAAAGACCAAACAAATCTGAATTCTCATAAGACTTCGTACTAAATTGTGAAAAATTATTTTATTAATATCTCATCTCTTAGGTATCCAAACTAGTCATAATTTTGTTTGAGGATTTTCTTCACATTAATAAGCTTATAATATTTTTTTATGGATATTTGTTTGTCAATTCCAAATCAGATAAACCTCCTTAATAAAAGTTGAAGTGGACCGATATGTGAATAAGATGTGTGCTCCTTTTGAAAAATTTTAGAAATTCAAGTTTAAACTTTCTAAAAATGATCGTATTATAAAAATGCCCTGTATAAAATATCGATATTAGCTAATAATAGCCTTTGTCTAACATTTGCCTATAACTCTGTCTAATTATTTTGTTCCAAGTTTTAGTAGCTGAAAGTTAATACAACTTCTTCGAGGTCATGTTTTTTCCAAAATTCGAAAAATTTTCTACATAACTTGGCAACCCCGCACTAAAATGATAAACTGTTTATATTGCCATATACCGAATTTTCTCAGAAATCCATGTGTTTAAAAATATACAGGGTGTTCCATTTAAAAAATGTAATATTTGGCGTGTCCCGTTTTTACTCATCGCCCTGTATGTTCAAATTAATTTTGTAGTTCAGGTTTCCTGATTCTGTACAACATTTATATAAACTTTTTTCCTGTGTTATGAGTAACAAGGGAGTTATTTTACTTTATCACACTAATGGCCCGTCCTGTATATTCATTTTGCAGTTGGGAGTAAGAAAATTATTTGAAGATGCCGATTTAACTGGACTCTCCTCGAATTTCAAGAATCTTTTCGTCAGTGACGTGATCCAAAAGGCTTTCATCAATGTCACCGAATCCGGCACAGAGGCTGCCGCTGCAACAGCAGGTTAGTAGTGATCACTAGGGCTGCCACAACTCAGCCGCGGGACATAATTATTAATTAAAAAGCAACACGCTAAATTGTCTACAATACACGAGCATAAACACCAACGAATAGAAATTAATTACGCAACATCTGCTCGATAACAAAGCAACAGTATACTAACGTGACATGAACGGGAAAAGCATTCTGAGGCAGCGGCTCGCGCATGTCTCGATTGACCCGCTTGGTACGCCATTGAATCGCGGCTCTCTCTGACAGCTTTAGTGGTCACCTATAAAGAAAACAAATAGGAGGTTATCTATTTCTATAGGTTATTGTTGTTGCCAACACCAAAATGCGACTTGAGAGCCAATTATTGCTCTCTTGGAGCGGAACGCTCAGAAAACTGTTTATGTAATTCGGGGCGGTGGTAAAGGACCCCGCACAAACCTTATGGAAAATGGCTTTCGGTCAAAATGGCTGAAATTGAAATATGATATAGCTCTCACCTTCCTGAGCAAAAGTTGTCATGGGCCCAAAGCGATCCTATGTGTAGGTTTAAAGATACAGAGCTTTGAAGCTAACGATTTCATAGCACGGTGCTGAATATAAGTGCAGGATAGGTGTATGTATATCTCCCTTTCACCGTATATACAGGGTGAGTCAGTTTTTTGTAGACAAACTTTAACAGGAGATAGAACACATGTTTTTGAAAAGAAAAGTTTCCTATAAACATATGTCGTAGAAGGCTTCGTTTCCGAGATACAGGGTGTTAAATATAATTTTTTTTTCTCGAATTTCCAGTATAACATAAACGAATGCTTAGATTTTTTTCATGTTCGGGGGATAATGCCTATTAAGGGGCATAAAATAAGCGATAATAATGTTCAAAAACTTGCACAGTGGCGGAGTGGAAGGGTGCTCAACCCCTTTCTTAAACAGAACAATCAGCATTCAAAATAGTTTAGATTTTCAAGGTAGGCTTTGAAAAACAAAATTAATAGAAGATGTTTTCAAAAAGGAATAATTAAAAGTGAAAGGAAAAAAGAAACAATTCTTTTAATTACAATATAATATAAAAAATACATTAAAGATCATTTATAAATTTGCCACGTCTCCTCACTTTTATTTCTCGAATTATATGTTAAATCTTTCATTAAATGCTACAAATAATAATATAACTGAGCCACAAATCCATAGATTTGACAGAGAACAAGGAACCAAATGAATGCATAAAACATATTCCAGTAGGTTGGCACTATTTAATTTTGTATCCCACTTTAATATGGATGTTAAAAAAAAGATGAAAAGAGAACAACACAGGAGGAAAAAGAAAAAATGTATGATTTTTATAACTTGGGGCCAGACAAAATTCATTCGAATTTAGCCTAAACTGCTACATACTGCCCTACATACCCCCAATAACTGACACTACTGTGACAAGTAGTAATGGCAGAAAAATGTCTTTTTACACATCCCTAGGGACAGACAAGCAATATTTCGTTGATTTTGGGCCAAACAGATCAAATGTCCATCTCCCCATCGCATCCTAATAATTCTAAACACATTCAACTATTGCGACAGGCAAGAATGCCAGAAAACTCAGACTAACCTCAGACATGGAAACCCAAGAAGCTGTAGCTGGTAAAACAAAGCTGAAGCTCCGTCAGGCAAGCGCAAGCTGAAGTTCGGACAGGGAAACTTTGGGCCGAAATCGAATATTTCTTGTCTGGTGTAGGGATGTATGAAGAGTTATTTCTGTGACATCACTTGTCATAATAGTTAGACATGGGTAGGGGAAGGTGGGTTGGACCCGTTTCCTATCGAATTAAATTAAATAGACCCCTTAAATTTGGAACATATAGTATAGCCTCACTATTACTCTATTGTGTTATAAAATTTCAGTTAGTTTCGTTACCCCATTTTTTAGTTATTAATGAAAATGTTGAAAAAATCACGTACAAAATTCATACCTTTCACTTTAACTCGTCGTAATTTTTTTGTTAATTGATAAAAAAATTCCAAATTTTTACTGACGATAAGTCGAACTATTGTCTTTAGTACTAATACTTCTTTAAAAAAAAACTGACATAGGTAGTAAATAATAGAATGCAATATTTACGGAGATAACACTCCCTTCTGTTTTGCTTAAAAATAAAAAATGAAGATCTTTTGAGACAAATGACCTTCACAGTACTAAAGACAATAGTTCGATTTATCGTCAGTAAAAATTTGGAATTTTTTTATCAATTAATAAAAAAATTACGACGAGTTACACTGAGAGGTATCAATTTTGTAGACAGAACATTTTCATTAATAACTAAAAAATGGTTTAGCAAAACTAACTGAAATTTTAGCACACAATAGAGTAATAGTGAGGCTATATATGTATGTTCCAAATTTAAATTTTTTGCCCCTACGTTTTCTTAATATCGGTTTCCAAACTCAGGGGTCTATTTCATTTATTTCGGTAGTAGTCCAAAACAAGTGAATATTGCTCTAGATATGTGTAAAAAATTTTTTTCTGCCATTACTATCTGTCATAGTAGGTGGATGTGGGTCGGTTATTGAGGGGTATGTAGGACAGTGGGTGGGTCCGTTTGGGTTAAAATAGATTGAATTTTGTTCGTCTGGCCCCAAGCTAAATTTTTCCAGTTAGGCCGAAAATTGCGCTTAATGAACCTCCTTTTTTACCTCCGATTATAGGGTCATCTACAAATTTTTGTATACATTAATGCTAAAAAAATGTAGGAGGACGTATTTTTTCGTTAAATTCCTATTTGTTTCCTCTATCAATTTTCAAAGTCAATAACGGTTTTGTTAAAACTGTAGGATGCAAAAAGTTCAACATTTTGAAAGATTTTTAAGCTTTATCAATGGTTGAACAACTTCTGGGCTGATTGCCACGTTATCGGTTTAGGCTTCTTGATATTTAGAGAGACATATCGCTCCCTTCTTGAGAATAAGAGAGCAATATGACTTTAGAAACGTCAAGAAACTTACTATGACGAGTTGTTGGCAACCAGTTGCGAATTGTTTATCTATTTTGGAAGATTATTTTACTAAGTTGAAGTTATAAATCGTGGGAATCAAAATGTCAGCATTCGACTAAATGTTAACGTTTTCCATTCTTTAACAATAAATAATACTTAAATAAACATTCACTGCATGTGTTAAATTGGCAACAATAAACTGGTGACAGATTAGGTGTTTGTTTTGAAATTATGCGATATCCGTTGACTGCATGAAAAACAGTAAATACCTTAAAAAACCAGCAGAGATACGTAGGTATAAGGAACCGTTATACCATTCGAAATAGAACAAAATTGGTCATCAGGTTGCGCAAAAATATACAGGGTCCATTTGAAAAAAATAAGTTAAGAAGGTTTAAATTTGACTAAATTCGGCATTAAATTTCTACCACCCTGTATGAAATGAAGTAATTGAAATTATGGCAGGGAAGCTTAGAGTTTTAGTTATGTCCCCTATAAATTTTATTGCTCTAACTTTATTATTGTAAAGTACACATCTTTTTGAATTAGGCAGTGCATTTTTATTTTTTTTTTAAATGTTAAATATATCGAAAAACGGTTAACTTTAAGAATAGGAAACCTTTATAAAAGTTCACCTGAAAACTGACGTAGAATCCAAAATTGCAATAATATACAGGGTGTTCCATTTAAAATAAGGAGAATTATTTTAGTTGAGAAGGGTAGGTATGCCCGAAACTACTATTGCCCAAATTTTCAAAATTAAAATCGAAGTAGTCCCTAAAATATGTCTAATGTCTCGTCACTGTGAGACACCCTGTATATATATACATTTTTCTATGTCATTTTCCATCTATCTCTCGCCTCTACCTGCCTATTTACCTATCATCATCTGTGTTTCTATTTCAGTTTTAATCAGCAAGAAATCCGGACATGCTTATCTTTTTGATCCAGTCAACTTCCACGCCGATCATCCTTTCCTGTACTTCATTAAATCAAATGGTTTAATTCTTTTCGCTGGACGCTTCACGAATCCATAATATGCAATAAAGTATCTGTAAATACTACATTTTAAGAAAAATAAATATACTCAGTCTCCCAGAAAACAGACCTACCTTAGTCTAAAAATGTTTCGTTTAAACGTTACAAGATGTTAAAGTCTTACTCTTGGTTTTATATTAATATCAAATTCGGTACACGTTTTAGGGGTATAGGGAATAATCAAAATATGGGGGATGGGAAACGGGATGATGAGTGACCCCATCTTTTCGAAATTGTTTTCTTCACCAATGAATTTCTTAAGTAAAATGTATGAATTTCTGTATTATCTGCCTATTTCGTACGAAAAATGATTATTCTCTTAAAATTGACATATTTCTAGTAAGGTTCAATTTGCTGCATCAAAAAAATTGGGGCTTAAAATACCAAACTGATTGCTTACCTCAACAACGAAGAATTTTAACAACTATGTTTATACGAATTTTTCCATTAAGGATTGATATTTCGATTTTGCTATTCAATACAAAAACAATTAACTAATCTGATAACAATTTTATTTGACTGCTAAATGTTGAGGGAGTTATCCTCAACAAAGAGTCGAACCAGAACCAACAGCAAACATGACAAAGATTGACAGGCAACGAGCATTTCGAAAAGCACCATCGGTTGATGGATCATAGATGGACACCTTACGTTCCATTTCTTCTTAGTTTCTTACGCAGCCAGTACAAGATTTACTGGAAAATAATTTCACTGCTTCTTTCGTAGAGCCATAGAAACGATCTTAATTTTCATACGAAAGTTCGTTTTCATAAGAACACGTCAATGACATCGACGACCTAGGAGAATCCCAAAAGGTAATATTTACCTAATCCTCTTAAATTTGTACAGTCTATCTGTATCTACGTAAAGGAAAAAAAAGGTCAACAGTTTATTTGGTGTTTGCAACCTCTATTTTTTTTTGGAACAGCAGCTTGAACTTTCTATTTTCACTCCAAATCTTGCAATTTTATTTTTAATGGACCAAATATTATCGGACTGAGACTAAGTTGACTTAAACTGAATTATTTTAATTCAGGAATCTGTAATAGCTATATGACCAACGTTTTCTGGGATATCTTATAGGCAAGGTTCTTATTAAAAAAGTAGGTGCATCTTAGAAAAAAGCGTACAATTCCAAGGAAAAATTATAAATAAATTTGGATTGTAGAGTTTCTTTATCAAAAATGAATGTAATTTGAAAATTAGGTTAATAAGTCAAGGGTAAGGCAAATAGCAAATATGCTCAAAAAATTTCCTGACTTCATCATCAATATTTACAGTCATCTTGCATACAGTGTAGCTTTTAAATATTTTATAGAGCCTTCCAAAACTTCTACAAATTCTGTTACATTTTTTTTATTACTATTTAAATAGAAGATTGGAAGACACATGTTGAGATTTTTGAAAAGCTATATCTTGAGTTTGCCTTAATTTTCCGGCAGTTTATAATAAAAAGTAAACAGATTAATGAGTTCTTTAAAACGAGTCCCGATTTATTAAATTTAGAAAAGGTAAGTCTGATGTAAACAGTATCAACACGTTGTTTTCCATCCTGCCCTTTGATAGTTAAAAAAATGTTTAAAACAAAATTGGTATAGGATTAAATAGAGATTCTAAAAAATATTTTAGACCTTCATTGTATGCAAAAAATGTAAACTATGTAGTAACGTTTCTCTATAAACCATAGTAACTGCGCGTGCTAACGATAAAATTAGGACCTTGAATATTAGAAATCAGTTTTTGAGCCATATTTGTTAATAGATTTTTATCTCATAATTGCAGCCTGAATGGTGTTAGAGATAGATATATCATGCTATATAGTTTGAGAACTGATCAATTCAACTATATCACAGGAAATATTTTTATGTTGTAGTAATGGTTAGTAAAGTTACTTTTTAATATATTTTTTTATATTCAATTAGCGTCTTATAGCAGGTTATAGTTTAGATCAGATTAAGTTCCCTTTTTTTCAATTTTTTAAATTTAATATAACAATTACTAAACCAATTTGTTATATCCTTTGTTTCGTTTAGAAACTTTCTAGATATTTATTTTTCTTATGATGTATTTCAAAGTTTAAGTAATATTAAAAACAATAACAAATGACTTTTAAGCATTTTTCTTCATAAATTTCGTATATTTTCTAAATACAATTACTGTTGTTTTGTTATCAGTACTATTTTACAATCTGTGGAGCACTGGTGATTTTAAGTTAAGAGAAATATCCACAAAGTAAGAGTACTCAATTTTTTTTATACCTTCGTCAAAAAATCTCACGCCGCCTCTCGGGCCCATTGTTTCACGCACTGTGGACCTTATCGTCGGTAGACAACCTTTTTCCATCAATAAATACCTTCAGAGACGAGAAAAGATGAAAATCTGGCCTCGTCTCGCAGCTGGCGGGATTTGGAATGGCGACACTTATTCCAACACGCCACTACAACAACAGTTCTCAACTGAGACAAATGAGCGCGCGTTTTGGTCTTAACATCTTGGCCTTGAATTGTTAAAAACAAAAATCACAGAGCAGCAGATTCTCAATACTCTTACTTTGTGGATATGACTCGTATTTTCTCAATTTGTGTACTGAACTTAATAAGGGACCCTAAATATAACTAGTCCGACACTGCAAAAACCAGACGATATTTCGCTTTCGGCAAAAACCGAAAAAAATAAGTATATCAGAAAAATGTCTTGAATATAAATCCAGTGGCAAGACTCAAGAGAAGTTTTTGTCACCTTTGCAACGGAAACGGACCAAATTTGTTATAAATGCGGCATTTGCCAGATAAACCAACCTATGTCCGATATAACCATACATTTTATGGAAGATGAAAAAATTATCTTCATTTTAATGATAAAAATACAAAAGTTCTAGTTAAGCCTTTTTTTAAGTTTTGTTGACTTTTAGATCGTATATTTTTCCTTAAATAAAAAAAATCAATGTAATTTATTTCTGTTCTAATTATTTACATTTTCTAAAAAGTGTCCGATAAAACTCGAATTTCCTCTGTTAGTCCTTGGTTGTACACTAGATTTTTATAAATCACTAGAGAAGTCGTAGTCTGTTCAGAAAATAATCGAAAAAATCACAGAACTTTATTTTTTTTACTTTCTTATGAATGTTGGACAATACTGACCCTTGTCTCCACTAAAGTACCCATTTCGTTTATTCCCAGCGGTGTTTCCATTTCGTGAACAGTCTTGGATAGCTTCATTTGAAATGGCAATTAAAATCTGTGACGAATTTGCTTTCATGTTATCAATAATATGAAATAACAATATCACGAAAATTAAAAGAGATATCCACAATAATCCAAGAACATATGGTTATATGTTCATAACAGATGAGGTTATGTTCAACGCAATGCTGCCAACCACATAACACTAAATATCTGCATTAGCGCGCAATTCAAAGTTCGGTTATTTTCTGAATAGACCTCGTATATACTATGTCAAAAATTGCATACTGCATCAAATACATCATCGGTGACTTTTTGTAACGAATATCAGTTTTTATTTTCGAATGCCCCAAAATCTATAACATATATAATACATTAATCTGAACCTAGACTAAAATAAACACTATTTTCCACATTCAATACTCTTCATCGCTATTAATATATAGGATGTTCTAAATGTTCCACGAGAAGAATAGCTCACATCATTTTCTATTGACAAATAAAAAAGTTCTTATGAATGAAGGCAGCAAACGTTTTATCACTGATTTATTTATTATTGATATATTTATTATTGACATTTTGTATTCTATTTCAACTTCATCCATCCATCTCTGATCTATCTCTGTATGTATCTATCAACCTTTATTTCTGTTTCAGTTTTACCCATGCCGTTGTCCGCACATATTTATCGCTTTGATCCAGTCAACTTTCATGCCGACCACCCTTTCCTGTACTTCATTAAATCAAATGGATTAATTCTTTTCGCTGGACGTTTCACAAATCCATAACGTAATACAGTGTTTATTGAAAATACATTTTCAGAGTAAAGAATAAATAAATGCTTCTGTTATAGTATATAGAAATTAATACTTAATTTTTGCGAATCACCTCCTAACCGTTAAAAAAAGTTGACCTTTTTTTAACATGTGAATGTTTTAGTGAAATAAAATATAGCGATTTAAAAGGTCGCAAATATGAACAAGCTAGAAGTTCCGATATTATGACGTCACGCGGAGAGTAAATAGGGATTTGTGGATCCACGTCCATACCCTGCGATGCCGTTAATAATTACTTACTTATTTCTACAGCATAACTTTCGTATCGTGTGCGTTTTAAAATGATGTAATTTTTTTAAATCTATGTGATTTTTTATATAACTTTGCTTGCTTCGGTGAGTATTGACCTTGAAATTTGGTACAAACCACATTGAAGGGAAGCAGGATTTAGTGGCGAAGTTAGATTTGAAATAATAAATACGCTAATCAATTTTTGTCAAATCCGTTGTCGAAAATAAATAAATAAATGAACAAATAGGTAAATAAATAAATAAATAAATAAATAAATAAATTAGTTAATACACGGTCGATAGCCGCACGGTTTAAGGCGTCAGTACTTAAATCGATGTGTCGATCTGCCCGGGTTTCGAATCCCGCGGCCGGTAGACCGTAGATTAGCTATGCTTATACGGAGGATTGGCACCCACTGTGCAGGTATGGTAGGGTGGAAGAATGTTGGCTTGGGTCAATGTGAGATATTGACACCGGTTGGCATTTGACCACCCCCCTAATTAATGAGGTTTTTCGGGTTTCCCTCATTCCTGCACTGAATGGTGGTTAGGGCCTACCAACATAAGTCGTTCCTGGGCGCAAATGCGGCCTGCGTAATAATAATATGCCGCCTCCTCTCCCGCACAAGTCTCCGACTTCTGGGCTAACTCTCGTAGTTAGAATGAGGAGTAGAGATATTATTATTATTATATTATAAAGTAGACTTTGATAATTGAAAATAAATTCAGATATTTCCATTTAAAATGGGAACCACTATATTTTCCTTTTTTTATATAAGTGGGCAGCAAAGTAAAATCTATTTAGCAAAAGTGCATAGTAGCCTTTTATCATATAATGGGCAAATTATATATTATATCTGCAAAGGTTACATTTACACATACCCGTACAAATTGCTATCTTTCTATCGTTCATCTGTCTGTCTATCTATCTATCATCTATATTTCTATTTCAGTGTTAATCAACAGAAAATCTGCTATACCAATGTATCGTTATGATTCAGTCTACTTTTATGCTGACCATCCTTTCCTGTATTTGATTAAATCAAAAGGATTAATTCTTTTCGCTGGACGCTTCACAAATCCATGACGCACACTGTCTGCAAATTATTCTTTTAAGTATTTAAAAAACGACCAGAGCTAAAAATAAAATGTTTGTATTTAAGCGATATTTTTTAATGTTATTTGTTATTTTCTTATAATTACATATTTTTTGTATACGTGCAGTAAAGTATATTTGAAAACATGTGTGTAGTAGCGTTTTGTTGTTTCTTGAAATTTCCAGAAATTCCTGTCCGTCAGAAATTGTGTCTTGGAATTTGTAAAGAAACGGGAAGATGTGTAAATTCCTTTTTCTCGATTTATTCCACCCAAATAAGGAATGTAAGCACAGATGCACATTTTAATATGCACTTATAATAATTTGATTTATACAGGGTGATTCGTTTTCGGAGGGATGACCAAAGTTGTATTTTTTAAATGGAACACCCTATATTTTACATGAAACTTTCGTAATAGATACTATATGCCAAAAATCAGTCGTTTCCGAGATATTTTACTAAAATAAATTACAAACCACGTATACCACTCATGAACTTTAACACAGGATAAATAATCATCACCATAAACTTGATTCATCAATTGAAACGTTTCGGTAAAAGTTTTACCAAGTTTAAAACAAAACTTAATACTAGCTTTTTGTTCGATGCTCATAATTCTGTATTGATGACACAAACTTACTGTCACTTCAAACGTAATAACTCCGCTTCTATTCATACAGTACATTAGTGAAGCATTTACCTTTCCGACGCATGTAATTGCCAAGAGATGACCTTACTGGAAACACCCATTTATGAAAACGCACCTTGTATTTCATATGCTATGTATGTGCCACTAGCTATCCGTGAAAACATGTGGTACCCACATAATAGAGCTCCTGCTCATAGTACATTAGCTGTTCGACAATGGTTACATTTAAATTTTCCTGGGAGATGGATAGGTCGAGGGAACGATGCACCAGTCAAATGGCCTGCGCGCTCACCGCATCTCACACTCATAGGCTACTTTTTATGGGGTCAATTAAAAAATGTTGTTCATTCCAACCCTATTGATGTGTCGAGATGCTTCGTCAAAGAATTTTTGCAGCAGCTGAGGAAGTAAAGAATGACATACACATTTTTTCAAGAGTTCGTCGTAATTCTAACTGTTATTTCATATGAGATTTCTTTAATGCAGGGTTTAAATAATTTCACATGAACAAGAAAATGTGTTTTTTAATGAAGACACCGAAAAAACAATTAAATAGAAATTATGCAGTGTATTCACACATGCTAAAATAATACGCAAAAAGAGTAAAGTAAATTTAAAACAGGAAAAATAATGTTGTCAGTTGATTTCTGCGCCCCCTTTTGGTCAAATTTTAAAATACAGATATACAACTAATAAGTACTGTGAGGCAACGCGTTCTGAATTTATTAACAAAAGTGTCTGTTTGTACCTTGGTATTTGTGGAGGTATAAATCCGTAACACTAATTTATGAAATTAAAAATATCTCCTCAACGGTTGGCTTTAGCCATTTTCAATAAGTATACCTTTATTGTTAAAAAGTCCAATATTTCATATTTTGTTACTAAAGGCTGTATACAGGGGTTGGCAAAAAAGTTACTACATATTCAATGTATAACGTTGCCTGCAGAGGGTGCCTCGTACTCGATAATCAAAAATCATAATTATATTATTTATTATTTTTCCCATCATTAAAAAACCTCTCTGTTGAAAATTTGAAACATTTCTGACTAAAATTACAGAAATTATTAAGGAAAAAACATTTTTTATTTTTCACTTTGGCACCCTGTATTTTTTTTTATTATGCGCCTTGGGATATAGGTGTGTTAGGGTAAATCGATTTATTTTCATCCAAGGAATCTCTGGTATCATTTGTGCCCCTCCATTAAAATACACCCTATATATAAAAGTCAGTAATAAATCACCTACATTTATACAGTACGCGCCTAAAGTATGGAATAAATTCAGTAAAAACGAAACAAATTTTTTTTTGGAAAAATCTTCGAACAGGTTTTTAATTTAAAAAATACATATTTTAGCATAAAAGGCGATTTTCAACCGTCACTTATTTTCGAGTAATGACGTCATCGACATTTTTTTTAAATAGCAACCCCCTATTTTTTTCTTAATTCTGAAAGATCGTTTCATTGTTGATCTGACAGTATTAAAATGTTGCTATCTTACATAGGAAAGTTTTCGAGTAAATAACGATTGAATGTCAGAAAACCCAAATCAATTAAAATAAAGCAAAAACGTTATCAAAAGTTTTTCGAAATGCCTGAAGTTTTTTATGGATCACGTACGTGTAAATCTTTACAAAGTGTCACTGCCATACCGACTTTCTATTGTAAGCGATATAAAAATTATTGTTGAATTTAAAGTATTATGTCACATTTAACTGTCACACAAAGAACTGAAATTTTAATTCTTATCGGATGCGGAGATAAGACTAGAACGCAGCAGCAAGTTTGCGATTTATTTAATGAAAAACATTCAGATCAACGTATCAGCCAATCAACAGTCAGTAAGATAGAATCTAAATTTAAAGAAACTGGCAATGTTGTAGATATTCCAAAACCTGGATGTCCAAGCGTTAGTGAAGATTACAAACAGAACATTTTGATAAGTATGGTAGATAATCCTCATAACACTTCACGATTGGTTGCATTAAACAATGAAATTAGTCAGACCACAGTGCTACGTATCCTGAGGTAGGAAAAATATCATCTCCACAAAATTCAACTTGTGCAGGAACTCAATGAAGACGATCCCGACCGCCGCTTACACTTTTGTGAAATTATGACGGATTTATGTCAAGTAAATAGAGATTTACGCCGGCAAATACTTTTTTTCAGACGAGGCCACGTTTTGTCTCAATGGTACAGTGAACCGTCAAACTTGCAGGTATTGGAGTCGGGAAAATCCTCATTGGATGGCAGAGACACATACCCAACACCCACAAAAATTAAATGTGTGGGCTGGAATAGTTGACAACAGAATAGTAGTGCCTTTCTTCTTTCCCTTACAGGAGAAAGATATTTATAGTTTTTACAAAATGACCTTGTTCCAGCGCTTGCAGTAATTTTTCCTAACAATAATGACCCTGATATTCCTGATGACACCATATGGTTTCAGCAAGACGGTGCACCTCCGCACTATGCGCGCACTTTTCGAGATTTTCTGGACAATTGTTTTCCTAGGAGGTGGATTGGCAGCAGACGAGGACCGATAGAATGGCCCGTGAGATCCCCAGATCTTACACCCCTGGACTATTTCTTATGGGGCTACTTAAAGTCCAAAGTGTACGTTAATAGACCACATAATTTAGAAGAACTCCAAAATTGTATTATAGATGAAATACACAGAGTTACCCCAGAAATAATTCATAATGTGCAAGAAGAATTTCTACACAGACTTGCGTATTGTCAAGAAGTAGGTGGGTGGCAATTTGAACACTTAATTTAGGTAGTAAACTTAATGAATTGTATTGCTTGACATAGGAATTGTTATTTTTTAATGAATAAAATTTACGTTTGTCGGATCGACAATGAAACGATCTTTCAGAATCAAGAAAAAAAATAGGGGGATGCTATTTAAAAAAAAATGTCGATGACGTCATTACTCGAAAACAAATGACGGCTGAAAATCGCTTTTTATGCTTAAATATGTATTTTTTAAATTAAAAATCGAATAGTTCGAGGATTTTTCCCAAAAAAAAATTTGTTTCGTTTTTACTGAATTTATTCCATACTTTAGGCGCGTACTGTATATTTGGTAGTAAAACATACAAGACTATGGTTTTTCACATTGCATTACACTAACATTCGTTATATAGACCTGATAAATCGGTTTTTGGCTGCGGATTCGAATTCAGCATCAAAAAATGCACAAGATCTATGTACTTATCTTTCTGATACAGGAACTTTTTGTTTGAGGATCTGATAAATACATTTTATAGCTATCAATTCAGCAGTTAAAAATGAAGAAAGAGATAAATTCTAACTTAAACTTCAGTTAAACAAGTTTGTTTGTTATTATAATACCAGGTAGGTTATAGGTTTACTAATACGAGTAGTAATAAACCATAAAATCGTTATGCTTTTCCAATAACCATCAAAACAATTCCAGCTAAAAACGGTTAATAATATTCTCTGAACTGAAGATTGTAAATACGTCAACGAAAGCGGATTTTCCTAAAGTCGTCAAATTTTATTTTACAGAAAGCCTATTTTTTGACAAAGGGGAATTTAAAATTATATTTTTGCAAATTTTCTTTTAGAAAATAGTTTCAATTACTTACTTTAAAATCAAAGAAATCGTTAACAATTATGAATCATCCCGTGCTTTCGATTTCTCGCATTTTTTCCTTAGAAAAATAACGGGGAGAATATTTTGATTCATTCTGTATAATTAAATTACGTTTTACGATCTTATATAATTTCAGGTATAGAAACAAATACAAAGATTTATAAATAATTGTGGCTACATAAGTAAGTGATAAACCAGCTCCTGATCAAATTGACCTCACAAATACCGAACGTAAACAAGGGAAAATCCTGTTTCTAACTGATGATAAAACTGAGACGTTTATTCTCGAGTTTTATGGAGGGGAAACAAATAAATATATTTCGTTGTTGGCTGCTGTGTAATTATTCAGCAAAAAAAGTAACACCGCTATTACATCTGTGACCATTCAACAGTCAGTTCAAGATATCTTCAGAAGGTAAGATACTTTATTAAATTCTTGTAAACTCGTATACAACCTCATATTAAAACTCTATTATCTCTAACAAGGGGATAATATTACTACAATCGCATATGAAATCAACATCAAATATATGTACTGGTTCAACATATGGTTTGTGTCAAAATCTCTTGAGCGAAATGCTTAGTATGGAAAATAATAATACACACTTTTATAGCAGAAATAAATTTAAATCTATCTTTTACACAATATGTTTTTCGGCTCATTACCATTTGCAGTAAAATAGGATTAGTCATTTGTCGGGTTTTAATTTAATAATTTTCTGTAACTTAACATCTTATTTTGCAAAAGCTTTTCCACATTTTCAGTCTTAATATAAAAAAGGATAATTCAAATAAATACAGCTCATTCCGAATTTCAATAATTTTGAGGGTGGCAGAATTTTTATCAGCTTGCTTATATAAATGGTATCTACAAAACAAAGGTTACGAGACAATTTTATAAATGTTACATTTTGTTATTTTAATACAATCTGTTACATAAAAATTCACAAAAGGTCAGCGCATTAGAGGTCACTATTTATGGTTATTGTTTACTATCTTATGAACTTGAAAGATGTTCAGCAACCATAAATTTAAGATAAAGTCTTTGTGAAGATAAATTGCAACCTCTGTTACCTCTGGCCTTGTTGACAAGAACCTTTGAAATATTCGGAGAACATTGTCTGGGACAAATTTTTTCTCTATTGTTGCAATTTCTTCTTATTAATTAAATATTTGAATAGTATAAAATACAGTGATGAAACATATGCGACTATGTATAATTATCATCCTATATTTGTTTTGACTCTAATATTAATTTGAAGAGACTCCTAAAAAACCTGCACACCTTCAATCTTTAGTGTTTGATTTTTGTTGAATTATACATTCTCTCAAGATTATTGTGAAGATTTTGTTTATCGGAATGACTAGTAATTGATTACTACAAGCCGAAAAAAAATATTGACTATTTAATTATTATTTATTTTATTTATTATTTATATAAATAAACATGTATAATGTATGGAATGACAGGATAAGAAAACTACAGTAGGTACGTATTTTGAGAAGTACAGACACCGTCATAATTTATTAGGTACCAAGAAATGCTGGAAATGTGAAATGAGATTTACCCATTGTATTCCGAGTATATTAATAATTAAAGTTTACCACATATAGTTCAATAAACATTAGTTTACCTTTTTAATTCCTATACTACAGAATTTCGTCACTCATTAATAGTCCGGGCGATTTGTTTTTTTTTTTCAAAAATCGGGCCAATGTCGAATTTTATGGGCTTAAAATTAAGTAAAAAATACACAGAATAAAAGCCTAAATTTGTGTATTTGTAGAGGTCGAGCGTCATATTGTTTACAACAAAAGAAACAAAAAATTGTTTTTTTAGTTTTTCGCTTATATCTCCGAAAATAAGCCTCTAATCGACATGAGCTATACTTATCGATTTTGTTCCCGAGGAAATTTTCTACAAGGATAGGCTTTTGCGAGAGCTCAATTTTTTTTTACATTGTAAAATTAGCGGTGAAAAAAAATGTGCAAAATTTTCAGCATTAAATAAAAACAACGAATTTGACTGAAATTGGATGAAACTATAGGAAAAGATAACTGTTGGGATGCTCAACAAATACGCGCAATCCGGACCCCCAATTTAAAAATGGCGGCCTACTGCAAAATTATAAAGTCGAAATTGCGAGCGCGTGTACAGGGTGTCCCTGAAAAGGATGGACAACGCTTGACCACAAGTTCCTTCGATGAAGATAAGACTATTTAGCCTAACTTACCTATATACAAAAGTGCTCGCCTACTGAGATATAGCCTTCTAAATATAGAATAGATAACCTAGTTTTTTTCAAATAATTTGAAAACTATTTTTCTTAGAAACTTCAAATTTGATACACTTATTTTTTTATGTAAGGGCAAGGTAAATATAAAATTTGGTGAGAATACATGTACAGGATGTTCTCTTTCTAGTGCCTGTGCGCCACTGGCTATCCCGTAACTTTTTTGTGTGTGCGCCAATGACGACAGAAGCTTTAATTTAGAAGATTTTTTTGCTCTTACAAAATTTTGATATCGTTTATGGATTTCGAGTAAAACTGGCTTTTTTATACATTAAATATAGGCAAAATTCCGATTTGTAAAAAATAATTTATAACTGCAGCCTCAAAACAGGGAATAATAATGAAAAAACGTCACATTAAAAAAAAATAACTACACATTTTTAGTATTAGTTTATCAATCAATAAAATAAAAATCAACACTAATATTTTAAATAAACAGTATCAACTAATAATGTAAGAAAGTCAACATTAACATTTTAAATAAACCTAAATTGATATTTGTAATCAGATTAAAATAATACTACAGTAAATGCTCAAAGTACTTCCTTGTTCTTAAAGGCAAGCATTAGTTCTTCGAAAATTAAAATGAATTTTATCCAATAATTGTGCATTACCTCTCATAACACTAATTTCATGTTGAATTCTTTCCCATTATTCGTTTTCTGTATTTACTGAAAAGTTATAAACTGTGGTCCGCAACGCTTCCCAAAGGAAATAATTACATGGGTTTAGGTCCGGGGATCGAGGTGGCCATTTTAAAGGGGCATTATTTCCTATACCTATCCATCTGTTAGTATAGTAACCTGTAATAACTGGTCTTTTAATACTCTATTAACGGAACTTCTGCCGCTAAACGCCTTTTATTTACTTGAGGAATTTCTTTGACCCTTTCCAAAATTTGTTCCTCGAGCTGAATAGTTCCGGCCGTACATTATCCACGATTTAATGTTACAGTTAAAAGTTGTGATTTGGAATTCTTCGATTAGGAAAACTCAGCATATGTTCGAACAGTAGCACAATAATTTCCTTCACAATAACCCAAAACTAATAACATATCAATTTGTTCAGCAAAAGTATAAATTGCAGTAAAAAACAAAGTAAACTGAAATTAAATCACAGCTAGCTTGACACGGAACCTTTTAATTATTGTTATGAATTTGTTTCTTTGCTATATGGCATCTCGTACTAGACTATTCTATTTATCTTATATATTATTTAATGTGTAAAAAATGCCAATTTTACTCGAAATCAATAAACGATAAAAAATTTTGTAAGAGGCAAAAAATCTTCTAAAGTAGTGCTTATTTTTAAAAATACAAATTCTGTCGTCATTGATGTACACACAAAAAAATTAAGGGATAGCCAAATTCGACCACGAAATGACCAAGTAAACGTTCGGCTGAGCGGTAGCCAGGAGAGGGAAGCGCTATGACGTCATAGTGCCCTTGCTGCGCTCGGCTTCGCAAAATTCTTACTTATGCTTTTGATATCTTCACAAGAAGGACTTTTTACGTATTTAAAACCAAAAGTTAATTATTTCTTTGAAAAAATGATCAATCAGTACCATATTTGCGTGCTCAGAAAACATCGACGTATAAAATACAGTCTCAAAATTAATTGTTATTGCGTAAATTGTGTCTAGAATATTATTGAATACAATATCAACATTGCATGTAAGTACTGCATTTAATAGTATTTAAAAGAACTGTTACATTCAATTTTACCATATTCTATTCAATGAATTGTATTGCCAGCGAGAGTTGTCTTTTCTTAATTTTTATAAGAAAAGTAAAATAAATATTTAATGTATATTTTAGACTTCGATGAATTTTGCCATTTTGCCACATTCAAATCACGTGCTCTACAACGTAAACCATTAACTTGAAAAATTAACGTCACCATGAATGGAAAAAAAAATTGTGCGTCGGCCAATTAATTGGAAACGATAGCAAACAATAATTTAATCATTTTTTTTCTCTAATTTATTGAAGAAATTTCAAACTCTTTCACTGTTACTATTATTAGAGTGTACTTGTTTATTTTTTTATAACATAATAGTTGTACATTTTGAAAAACAATTTTAAATCTTATCTTATTTGAAACAGCTACATTTTTATACGGCAAACTAATTGACAACATGACTTTTAAAGCTATAAATTCTTAACGTTAAACACATTTTTTCTAAATCTTAATGCTAATACTTAGTAGGAAACCCATTTGCTTCAATTACCTTCAAATATCTTCTGGGCATAGACTCTACTAAACGCTTACTGGAATATCGGCCACTGCCCGCTTCATGCCGTCAAACAATTCGTCAAAACTTTGAAAAGTTTTCCAGCTTAGCATTTTTTTCTGTACCATCTAAATATTTTCAATAGGATTAAGGTCTGGACTACAAGAAGCTGTTATCTTGAAGCCAGGCACTTACCCTTCTAGCAGAATGCTTCGGATCTTTATCTTGCTGGAATTTCCAAAGTACTTATAAGTTCCCTTCTGCGTAAGGTTGAATGACATTTTCCAATATGTTAATGTATTCATATAAAAATGGATAACCGAGCTCGGGGCCTTTATAATCGAACAGACTGTATATAGCAGCATTTCTGGATTTAACGACAAGGTTTTATTACTTACCCACTTGACGCCAGTAAAACTTTTAATGTTCCATAAAAACTAGTCGTGATTACCTTTGTGTTTAACAGAGAATAGTGCAATATTTTGCGAAATAGTAATTTTAAATACAATAAAAAATTTAAGATAAGGCGGAATTTTTCCAGTTAGTGTTCGCGGGTTACTGTTTAAAAATAGTGGCCTCTAATAATAAGTAGTCACTTGTGCACTGCTAAAGTTCGGATATATTTTTACAACAGTTGATACTATCAGTTTTTTTTTTCATGAAGTTTTTAACAGCTGAATACCTAACAGCCGTATAACGCGGTAAGGGACAGATATATCTTGTATGTGTACTAGCTTTAATCTACCTTCTTTCCATTTCTTAATCTAGCAAATTTCAACTTCATCTTATTGTTTTTAAGGAAAATGAAGTGTGTTCTTTTGTTGACCTTATTGTACGGGGTACTGGGAGTACCAGTAGAGGATGAAGCATTACAGGAATTTGTTGCTGGGAATCACAAGTTTACAGCTGCTGTCTACAAGGTATGTACCGCATTTATTTTTATTATTATTTTGTCAAATATTCGCTATAACCGTTTAAAATACCTATTTTTTTACAATGGGTAACACAAATACGAAAATAATTCTCTTTACATGACACTGGCGATCTTTATTTTTTTTTTATAGATACCCTACAACGAATTGTTGAGATAACCCAGCTTATTTTATTTATTTTCAAAGATATAGAAACAAGAATAATCATTTTTACTTACATATATTCTCTGTTACTATCCGGGTCTGTAAATATTTGTACACATTTGCAATAACAGAAATAATGTTTATTAAAATAATATTTATTTGTATATTGCGATACTGTATCGTAAATAATTTAAATTATTAAAATATAGGGTATCTCTTACGTTCATGTCATAGTGCAGGAGGATTATTTCAGACGAAAAAGAAATACAGGGTGTTAAAGTTTAAAAAATATCATATTTATTCAGATACCCATCTCTGAAGATGTTAGACTTAAGGACGGGATTTTGTACAAAAAATATCGACCAGCGTGAGTCACGAAACGGGACCCCGGCAAGTGCTGCTCTAGCTCTAGCGGCCAACGCTTCAAGATGTGTTGTTTAATAATAATTTACGCTGGACCGATATTTTAACAGGCCTCTCGCCCGATTGTTCAGGAACGGCTCCAATTTGTGTACATACAGTCTTATAAGGAAAGAGAGTAAAGATTTTATTAATCATTAATAGATTATCGAGGACAATAATAATTTTTTTATTAAGTAGGCAATAATTGTTAGTTAGAAGCTTAAACAATCTTAGAATTACCATTCCCTTATTATAAAAGCGGATATAATTTTTAAAATTCCATGTAGTTTATTCTTCAAAAGCTTAAAAAACGTATAAAAGGAATAGTCAACAGTCTAATGTTTATATTTTCACGTTAACAATACGATACGTAAATTACCTGCTATTTTCAGTAAAAATGATATAACTTGAATTATTTTTTTACTTTGGTGAATCGTATTAATTTAAAAAACACTGCCTAATTATAGAAACTTGCTACTAATTACGTTTGGAGAATAATATGTATAGTAGGGTGGTCTAAAAAAAAAACGATTTTTTTTTTCGTGTCTCTTGTGAAAATATGTTAGTTTATCATGTTTTAAGAGCCCCCTCAGAAAATCAGCTCAAAAAATTTTTTTTAAAGGTCGCTCAAGATTTTTAAAAATTTCTAAAGGTCACTCATAATTATTTTAATTTTCAGAGTTGAGCGACCTCTAAAAAATAAAAAATTAAAAAAAATTAAAAAATTATGTGCGGTAGTAAACTTTGCCTCGAGACATTTATTAAGTGTCTCGTGATTAATTTCTATTATTTTGTTGATCAAAGTCAATGAAAAAAATTGTTAGTTCGTTGATATTTATTTTTTAGAGGCCGTTTGAAAACATAGGTACCTGCCTACACTACTTTGAAAATTAAAATAATTATGAGTGACCTTTAGGAATTAAAATATCGATTTGAAATTTTCAGAATCGAGATTTTTTTCAACCTAGACGCTAAAATAACGAGAAAAAAAATTAAACAAAAAAAAATCAAATTTTTACTGACTATAAGTCGCACTATCGTCTTTAGTACTGTGAAGGTCATTTGTCTCTAAAGCTCTTTTTTTATTTTTAAGCAAAACAGAAGGGGATGCTATCTCCGTAAACAACAATCTGAAAAAATTTGTTAAAATAATACAGTTATAAAGGCTATACTGTATACTCTGCATCGGACCGTGAACGTAATTGACCATTCCGATACTGTTTTTAAGAATATCATATTTATAACTGTATTATTTTAACATATTTTTTCAAATTGTTGTTTACAGTTATTTGCTACCTATGTCAGTTTTTTCTTTTTTAAAAGAACCCCATATTTACGGAGATAGCACTCCCTTCTGTTTTACTTAAAAATAAAAAAAGAAGACCTTTTGAGACAAATGACCTTTACAGTATTAAAGACAATAGTTCGACTTATCGTCAGTATAAATTGGAATTTTTTTATTAGTTAACAAAAAAATTACGGCGAGTTAAAGTGAGAGGTATCAATAATTTTATATGCAGAAAACCGTGAATTTTTCAACATTTTCATTAATAACTAAAAAATGGGAAAAGGATATCAACTGAAATTTTAGTACACAATAGAGTAATAGTGAGTCTATATATGGTCGAAATTTCAAATTTTTTGCCCCTACGTTTTCTTAATATCGGTTTCTAAATTCAGTGGTCTATTTCATTTATTTCGATAGTAAGTGTCTAAAAATAAGCAAAAGTTGATTGTCAAGACAATATGAAATTAAAATCGTGTTAGTTATATTCATATTCTAGAATGTATTACTTTTTTGGTCGTAACTTTTTTCATTAAATATCCAGTGGTTTCCTTCTTATCGGTAAGTAGCTTGAAGATTTGTAGATTTGTAGATTGAAGAAGAAATCTATCTGAGCCAGGCTAATTTTTAAGCTGTAAATTTATTTAAACATAAATAACGATTTTATGTGGGACACCCTGTACGTAAAATTTAATCTTTATTCTTAATAAAGAAAAATTAGTACATATTATTGGTTTTTTATGCGTTATATTTTCGTACTACTTAAGCTTTACAAAATCTTATTACTTAGGTACTTTTAAAAAATTACCCATATTTATATAACAAAGATAATATTAGACCATTTTGCTTTATTTTAGCACGCAATTTATAATAAACCAACTCTGTGTTTTCACTTTCATTTTCAAGGGTAGCGACACCTGTGACAGAGTATACAAACTAATTATACTTAGAAATTCTTGCATTCAGATAGGAATCGTTACAATTCTGGTTTAAATATATAATAAAAATGGAGTCGTGTGTAAAATGTTGTCATTTTACTTGAGGACACAAATTATAGAATTATTAATAAATATTAATCTGAAAATTAAATACAAATGATCCTAGGTGTCCGTTCTAGTGAGTGAAGTAGTTTGGTTATTGTGCCTGACCTAGTTCCGTCGTAAATGCAATATATTGACAGACTAACAATATGGTTGAAATTGAGGTACTTTGGCATTTATTTAAATTATTTTTCTGTTCTCATGAGCATTGAAATTTATCTCACTCACTAGCGGGAACCATTGCGAATACAATGATATACATATAATAATATTCAATTATGTTAGTTTCTTCGATGAAGCTCTGTTACAAGGTAAAAATGTACATACTAAATCACCCCCTTAAACAAATAATGTGTATTATTTTAATTTAATAAAAAAAAATTGCTGAACTGATCTGTCAACCAGTGACGAAGGCACGGGGTGTTTTCTAACTTTTCTAACATTTTACCTACATCATAAAACAAAAATAGGTAAAAAAATATGAGACATATATTTTATTTTTTCATTTTGACGTAATTAAGCGAAAATTTCAAATCAGGTGCCAAATGTAGTAATTTTCTGCATGTTCTAGTTTATTGCAGTGTTCTGCAAACAAAAAATCGTTTAATTTGTGACAAATTAGTGAGGGCTTTTTCCCATTATTTGAAAGAAACTCCTAACAAAATGTTACTTTTGACTATATATAAGAAAGTAAAATAATTACTGATAAACTGATTTTAAATGAATTATTGAAATATAGGGAAAACATTGTTATTATAAATATTTGGTAGTCATTTTCGAATACTACCGGTCACTCATGGTCACTCCGTTCGTAATTTTTGATACGAGATTGCCATCGCTATATAAAATACAAGGAGAACTTTCCGAAGCTATGACAAATACTTAAAAAACGCCCCGTATGGGTAAAAATATAAAAATAAATAAAAATTCTGAAAACCAGATCCACCTCAGAATAGTCTTCATCGTATTATAATAATGTCAAGGTCAGATTATTTGTTTATGTTATAATCTGAACAAAGATTAATTAATTAGGTAACACAAATTATGTTGTCTGAATATAATCGACAATTTTAAAGTACATAAATTTAATTGTTTTAGGAACTTTCTAAAAAACAACAAGGTAACTTTATCGTCAGTCCGCTGTCAGCTGAGGTAGTCCTAGCTCTCACCAATGAAGCCGCAAGGGGAGAAACAGCCACAGAACTGACGACAGGCCTCTCTTTGCCCAGTACCAAAGAAAAGACACAGAAAGCGATCAAATCACTGCTACCAAAATTGAAAAGATCCGAGGAACATTTAAAACTGCTCAGTGCCAACAAAATCTATACCGACAAAAGCCTAAAACTTGAGGACGACTTCAAGACAATCGCGTCAACAATTTACGACTCAGGTAACTGGCGATTATCAACTGATTAATTCAAGTTAGTTGTGGTTCCGACTTACCTAACGTTAACAGTTGTATTTTCTAGGTGTTGAGAGCGTTAATTTTGCCAACAAGGAAAAATCGTCTGCTACAGTAAATGATTGGGTGGAAGACAAAACCAATCATAAAATTAAAAACCTAATCAAACCCAATGATATTCAAGACAATACAAAGGCTATTTTAGTCAACGCTCTTTATTTCAGTGGTAAATGGACTTCTCCATTCAACAACTACACCACAAATAAGAAAAAATTCTTTAAAACCAAAGACGATTCCGTTGACGTCGAAACCATGAGTCAAACCGAATATTTCAACTACTACGAAAATCCAACCCTAAACGCCAAATTTTTGGAACTCCCTTACGAAGGTAACATTTACTTGTTTTCCTGCTTTTTTTCTGTGCACTGCGTCTATAATTGACATGATTTATATATTGACCAAGGCGGATCTGTCAAAATAGCCCACTTCTTGGATGTAAGAGAGGCAAGCTAATTTTTGTTGGAATACCTTCAGTACAACTCACATAATAAAAGTGTAGATCTCTAGATTTGGGCGAGGTCCGGAACATTTTCAAAATTGTAAAAATGTTTACAAAATTTAAAAAAATACATATTTTATCCGAGTTTTTTACTTATATCTTGGAACCTATGCATTTTGGAAGAATATTGAACTGGAAAAAAGTTTTAGAATTGAATTTTGCACAATATGAAAGTTAAAAATGTTTAAATTTATTACCGATGTTGCAAAATAGCAATAATTAATGAAAGAAAGGTAAAATAATCAAGTTTTTTGCATAATTTTTTAAAATATTTGAATTGCTCCGAGGGCATTCTGATTTTCGTGAAAAAACTTTAGAGTATAATAAAACAACACACCAAATTTCATTGAAATCGGTTCGATAGTTTTCGCAAAATATTTTAAATTTAAAAAAAAATTCGAATTTTCAAAATGTTGTAGAGCCTCAAATAAAGCATCTAGGTACTTGAAAATTTTTTCACATAGGAAAGACCGCTCAACCTTTCAAGTGGTTTTTGAAAAATTGAAATCGGTTGGTTAGGACGGCCACACTAAAATTTTAAAGTTAACACTCTTTTTTTTTATTTTTAAACAGATTACATTTATCAATTTGCTATTTAGTTTTTTCAAAAATTTTTTTCTTTTTTTTAAAAAGTTAAATTCCGTTTATTGGTTCTCGAGATATAAGCGGTCAAAGTTTATCGGCACTTACCGTTAATTTATAAACAATTTAGCAATAATCTTTGATCGAGTGGCTTCGTTTTCCCGAGTTCTAAGCTGGATCCATAAGTTATCGGCAACATAGATAAATCAGCGGAAAAGCTGTCGCTCGCACGCGCGGAAAGTGACTCAAAACATGAAAAATGGGGGAGGGGGCTTTCTCTCCGAGACTGAATTCGGAGGTTTAAAATGAGAACGTACGAAAAATAATTGCATTATCTCGGCTTCTAATGGACCAATTTGGATCTTTCTTTTTAATACGATGTCTCGCGAGCCAAGGAAATCGAATATCGTAATGCCAACTGTCTAATTTGCACATATTTTGTTATAAACAAACTTTATTATTTATGCATTAAATATACTGTATATTTTACTATTGCTTTTTTTTCAATGAAAAAATTTGTTTACGTATATATTTCAACACTGAATATATTTAGTTATAATTATTACAATTATTTAAATAATTTTTGTTTAAACAGATAAAAAAAATATTTGGGAATTAATTTTTTTGTTAAATACAGATAAAATTAAGAAAAAATAGAACTTTAAAATTATAATTTTGGAAAAAAACTAAATTGCAAATTGATAAATGTAATAATTGTTCAAAAATAAATAAAAAGAGTGTTAATTTAAAAAATTTACTGTGTCCGTTCCAATAAGCCGATTTCAAGTTTTCAAAAACCATTTGAAAGGTTGGGTGGTCTTTTCTATGAGAAATTTATTTAGATGCTTTATTTGAGGCTGTGCAACATTCTGAAAATTCGAAAATTTTTTTCAAAAAATTATTTTGCGAAAACTGTCAAACCGATTTCAATGCAATTTGGTGTGTTGTTTCATTATACTCTAAAGTTTTTTTACCAAAGTTATTATTTTGCCTTTTTTTCATCAATTATTGCTATTTTGCAACATCGGTAATTTTAAATATTTTTAATTTCCGGTATATTGTGCAAAATTCAATTCTAAAACTTTTTCCACTTCAATATTCTTCCAAAATGTATATGTTCCAAGATATAAGTAAAAAACTTATATAAAATAGGTATTTTTTAAATTTTTTTAGAACATTTTTGCAATTTTAAAAATGTTCCAGACCTCGCCCAGATATAGGGATCTACACTTTTATTATGTACTCAAGGTAATCCAGAAAAAATTTGCTTGCCTCACAGATCCACCTCAAAACAGATCCGCCCTGGACTAATACATTTTTAATGTATCATACAATCATTTTAGGCGCTGATATACAAATGGTTATCGTCTTACCGAACGAAAAGGAAGGATTAAAAAGCGTGGAGCAAAACATAGAACAACTGTTGGCTCCTCAGCCATTCAAACAGGAAAGAGTTGATGTGCAGTTACCCAGATTTACTATAGAAACTGAAATAATGTTCGTTCCTATTCTGAAGAGCGTAAGTAAACATAGCAACAAAAAAATGTTCGAATTATTCGAATAATGAGTTTAGAAAAATGTAGAAACTAAATTATTAGTGTCCGGTAAGTATTTATTAATCTTTTGGGAGCATGTAGAGGAGGTTAAAGTAACACTAAGCCTTCTACCTATATATTTTTTTTCTACTGCTATTCTCAACAGAGATAATTGATCCCAAAGGAGGCATACTTTCATAAAATTCCAAAATTCCGGTGTTGTCTATTATAGATAAATGTCCATAGTAAAACTGAACTTTTACTCTTAGAAGAAATTCAGAAACGGACTGTCCCCAACACATTTTTTTTCAAAATTTAAACAGACGTCATGCTGTCAAACAGAAATTATTGTTTATAAATGTCCGGAAGATTTTTCTTTAAAAAAGTTATTTCCATAAAATCAACGGTTTTTGATATAAACGATTTTTAAAGTGTTCTGTAGTGACTTTTGCAACTGGTCTCATCCAATCCTTCTAAACGTTTCGCTGTTGCCATCTTCAGTGGTGACTCTCAGTAGCGGTGCGGTGGAGGACGGCGAAACGATTGCAATTATTGGATGGAACCAGTTGCAGAGGCCCCTACGGAACGTCTCGGAACCTCACAATTGCCTAAAGAGCGGTTTTGTCTGTAGTGGTCTTAGACCCAAAAAAAACCGAAATGAACATTAGGCCTGGCCTAGGGGCTCTACTAACGCATTTGTCCTCACATAGCTTAGCCTGAGAACAATAAGAGCGGGTCAAGGATTCCTGCCATTTTGTAAGTGGCAGCGACCAAGTCCCAGGTCCCAGGTCACCGCCATAATGTTAAAAATGATCACTCCGACAAAATAGACTTTTTATTTCTATGAAATAACATTCCAGGATTGTGTTGAATCTGATTACATTTCTGTGCTATTTCCAACAAAAGTTCTTTTCCAGTACTTACGGGTGTTGAATAAATGAGTGCCTTTGAGCGACTCCACGCAAAACGGTCTAATGGAATTAGGTCGGACGAATTTGGTGTCCACAAAATAGATCCCCTTCGACCTATTTATAGCACTAAATGCATTTTATAAATATTGACACAGTAAATGCTCAAAATGATATGATGCATAATCGTGTACATAGCTAATTTTGAACAGTTGTTGACGTCAAATTGTTTCTGCATAACTTGTCATATTAAAAGACCGATTTCAACGTCAAATCATGGACATTTATTTGTATTACACTTCGCCAAAATGTACAAAGAGGTTTCAAAGGTAGAACCCAAACGTAAGTCTCTAATGGGAACAAAAAAAAATATATTGTGATATTTTAACCTCTGCTATATGCCTGGGAGAGAGATTGGTATTTACTTACATGTCATCCTGTACATGATATGATTTATTCTAAATGTCGACAATAGCTTGACTTATTTCCTTTTTGCAGTTGGGAATAAACAGATTGTTTGACAACGCCGACTTAACAGGAATGTCCTCAAATTTTAAAGATCTTTACGTCAGTGATGTCATCCAAAAGGCTTTCATCAATGTCACCGAATCCGGTACAGAAGCTGCCGCTGTAACAGCAGGTTAGTGTTTACCTACTAGTTTTCAAATTCAAGAACTGTAATTTTGTTAAGATTATACGACTATATTTCGCTGTTCGACAAATCCCAAAGCAAATAACTATTTGAGAGATGGTTTTAATAATTTGAAGTTGCAAATCATATGAATCAAAATTTCTACGAGATTAATCGTGCTTAATTAACATCCGCTAGAACATTCTATGACATAAATTTGGATATTATATTCATTAAAGCGTCGGCGAAAATTAATGAATGTGGGATACTGTTACATATACGTGCATTTCTATATATTTTATCTCTATCCATCTATCTCTGATCTATCTCCTTATCCATCTCTCACCTACCTGATTTATCTATTCACCTGTGATCATCCAAGTTTCTACTTAGTTTTAGTCAGCAAGAAAAATTTTTACAGAAAAAATACCGCGATTCTGTATAGAAATTAATATGTACCTTATATTATTTGCACGAAAACTATTATACTTAGGTACGAAAAAAGAAGAGAGAGTGTGAGAAGACAATAAGCTTGTTTCAAATAAGTCAAGATATCTAAAACATTTAAATGATCATATTGGCGATAGAAAAAAAGTTACGCAAGAAATTACTGGCAGGGGTGGTTATTTCTATCCCTTGCAACCGAAGAAGATCAATGAATGATCTATTATTTCTATATTACTTAAGTCAGATGTTATTTTTAAATATCCTAAAATCTGATTATGTGTAAGTATTTTCGACCAATATTATTATTTTTTTAGTAAAACCACATATCTAATTGAGAAACAGTACCTTGCGCCGCTTCCAATACTTCCCCTGGTAAATGCTTGTCTTCATTTTCCGAGCTCATTTTGAATTAAACGTTCTTAGAATATGAATTAAAATATATAATTCTGGCACTACTTTTTCAAACAACTACTTTTTATTGTTTATTAGATTGCTGTCGCTATGATAGTCACCTCATCTAAACCGTCTTGATTCAAACACGGTTCAAACGACCACAATTGTCTTATTTTATTGCAGTTTTCGAAAAAATATTGTTTGCATCTCGAACGCGAAGCGCCAAGTTCGGCAAAATAACTTCCATTCTTGAACGAAAAGCACCGTTTCACTTTCCAGACACAAACTAAATATAGAGCACCGAATAGCACAAATCAATTATTAAGAAAATTATCTAATTATGCGAAAGTCTAATACTGCTTTTTTTTGTAAAATATCCGGTTTATTTTTCTAATATCCTAAAATCTATGAAACATAATTCGTTAATGTGAGTCTAGACTAGAGTAAAAGTATTTTTTATGCATTTAATATTCTGAATTCGCTATTATTATACGGGATGTTGCAATGTTCCACAGACAAAATTACACGTGCGATTTTCTAAGGAAAAATAAGCAGTTCATATAAGATAAAAATTATATTATTTATATATTTTTTCTATATCTCTTTTCAGTCTCTAATACATCTTTCCATCTGTTATTTCTCTTTCTATTTCAGTTTCAATCAGCGGATATTCTGCAACATTTTATCGCTATGATCCAGTCTACTTCCATGCTGACCATCCTTTCCTGTATTTGATTAAATCAAATGGGTTAATTCTTTTCGCTGGACGTTTCACAAGTCCATAAGAAAATAGAATAGTTATTTTATTTTTTCAGAGTAAAAAAATTTTTAAATATTTCTACTGTATACAGAAATTAATAGATTTGTTTTTGTCTTTGTTCAAAATGTATGCAAATTAATATTTTAAAAAATGTTCAAAACAAAAATAAACAATTTGCAATCAATCGATATCTTTCAATGTTTTCTATGTTTCCGTTTTGTTATATTTTCCTTTTTTTTTTGTTGACGTTATAGAAAAATTCTGTTTTAAGACAAATATGCACTTAGTAGTCTCTAGTTACATGTGACACAAAACATAGTGTAATTGTGAATACCACGAATCATAACTTCCTACAAAAATATCTAAATGAAAATATTGTCTCGTTGAATTAAATTCAGAAGCAAATAAAATTTCAGAGAATTTGCGTCTAAACTAGAACAAATACAATTTGCTACATTCAAAATTCTTCATCGCAGTTATTGTACAGGGCATTGCAATATTTCACCGACAAAATTGTACAGGTGGTTCCTTCATGCCTCGTTATTGAGATGTTCTTAGGTATACCTTTGAATTTTCTTATCCATCTATTTGTCGTCTTTCTATTTACCTATTACTAATATTTTTATTGCAGTTAAATATAAGCTGTTATCTGGACCTGTTTATATCCCTGATCCAGTCTACTTTCATGCCGACCAACCATTCCTGTATGCCATTAAAGCAAATGGAATCATTCTTTTCGTTGGGCGCTTCACAAATCCTTAACATAATAGAATAATTATATTATTTTATTGTATATGGAAATTAATAGACATTTGTTGCTTTCTTCACACATCACAAATTTTTCCTAATTTAAACTTTTTTCTATATCTTTTATAACCGAGATACTAAAGTGGTGTCTATTTGCATATTCCAATAGCGTAAACAATGATCAAGGTCATGCGTTATAAGCAGGTGGCTGCCGAAACTATTGGTCGAAATCATAGAGTAATTATAATGTGTTCTATTATTATTAATGTGTCTAGTAATATAAACATTAAACGGTTTATGTGTCGTATAATATAATAATCAAGTACAGGAAGGTGGCACATTTCTGCGTCACCAACAGAAGTAAAAGAAAGTGCTACGTTTTCTTTTGTTTAAAAGTATTTCCGATTTTGATAAAAATTATAAGTAGAATAATAATTGAAACAGATTGAACGGCAATCCACTTTAAAGAACAATACAGGATCAGACTTCACATCGCATAATAGTGTAACCCGAGAGATTTTAACTCTGTTTACTTTGACTGTGTTTAACCATCTACCGTTATGATCAGTATCATAACTATATTATCTTGTAAAAGAGTTTACCATTTACTTCTCGAAAGGGAGTTTAATTAATATGTGAGGACTTAGAAATGTTGTACGTTCAGAGAATGAAATTTTAGACACCGTACTTCGCTCACGAAGAGCATAATCCAGGTGTTGGTTGTACAGGGTGTTCCATTCTCACTTGATGGATACTTAATTTGGAAGAGAAAAACACCAAAACTTCGAGGAAGGTTTTTAATAACAATAAAAACAAAACGAACAAACAAAATAACGAAGACACAACGGATTCGAACTAACATTATTAATTAATTTACACGCGATAACGCAATTCGAGATTTAGGGAACACAACGCGAATTGATAAAAAATTTGACTTTATTCTTGATTAAATTAACCCGAGACTCTAAAATTAAGAAAGCTGCCAGTGTGGAATCCAAGGAGAAACTGCCTTTTTTACGGAGATCTCTCTTGAATTCGACACCTCGCTTCGACACACCCATTTCTTGGGTACATAAGTTTCGGTAATTATCTTATTGGCGGGATCCCTGAATATCGAGGGTTGGAATGACTTAACTATACCATGTTAATCCTAATTGACGGTATTTACAATTGTATGGATAACTTTGTGACTAAACTGAACTTACAAGTAACCCTACACCTCCCTCTTGTGACTCCGTATAGCAACACGGGACGGATTAGTCAACCTCATTTAATGATCTATTATTATTTTCCTCACAACATTCTAACAACTTATTTAAATATCTTGAAATTCCTACGTCTTTTCGAATTTATTTCGCGCGTTATTAGAAATATCGATTATTTCCTTCACTACGGGTTAAAGCGATGCAATTAGTCAATACCAGATGCCCAACACATGACCCCCGACGATCTAAGTCTCCTCTCAAAATATTTGCTAAATTTCATAAGGCCTTCTCCGAAGGATTGTGACGGTCGAGCTTTGCAAATTTATTACTCCCGATGACAAGAGGCACCAGTTTCTCAACGACTTTATGGCGACGCTAAACCTACTTGAAAACCCTTAACTTTTCAATAATTATTGTTGACTGAGAACTAACAAATAACACAGGTCAACATTTGATCTAAGAATAATCACCGGACCTGACTAGGGTACTTATGGGTTTTTTGTATCGCTGATTCCGAATCCGAGGTTGGCTAAGCTCCATCACCTCAGGTTCAAGGTCATTTGAAGGTCAAATGGCCAAACTTGGTCTAAAAAATCTGAAAAAGTTCATACGTATGTTTTTGGGGTAGCCGAGTTCTAAGCCGCTGCTATTTTTACCAGTCAAAGACATCTAAAGGTCGTATCAAGGTCATTTGGAGGTAAAATCGACAAATATGGTCTAAAAAATCTGAGAAAATTTATACGTATGTTTTTGGAGTAGCTGAGTTAAAATCCGCTGTCAGTTTCCCTCCCTGAAGGACAACTGAAGGTCATATGAAGGTCATATCAAGGTCATTTGAAGGTCAAATCGAGAAAATCGGTCTAAAAATCTGAAAAAATTTATACGTATGTTTTTGGGCTAGCTGAGTTCAAAGCCGCTGTTATTTTCATCATATAGATGTCTAAAGGTCGTATCAAGGTCATGTCGAGGTCATTTGTAGGTCAAATCGAGAAAATCGGTCTAAAAAATCTGAAAACATGTAAACGTATGTATACGACTCCTGACCGAATGAGGCGAAAATATAAAGGAGGCTATTTTCCGGTCAGTTAGGTAGAAATATAAGCGTGTCCAGCCAATTGAGGCAAGACGAGTGAATGTCCTAGCCAGTTAAGGCATGACGAGTGAATGTTCCGACCAGTTAAGACAGGAAAAACAGTGTGTCCAGCCACTTAAGGCAAGACGACTAACCTTGAAATGATCTTCATACGTTTTTAGATTACATCACAGTATAGCTCAGAAAACTCAAAAACATATACATACATTTTTCCAAATTTTTCTTCGTTTGACCTTCTATTGATTTTGAAATGACCTTCAGACGTTCATAGCGGTAAAAGTAATATTGACTCAGCAACCCTAAAAATATACGTATAAATTTGTTCAGATTTTTTATACCGATTTTCTCGACTAGACATTCAAATGACCTTGATATGACCTTCAGATGTTCTTCAAGGGTGAAACTGACAGCGTATTTAACTCAGCTACTCCAAAAACATATTATAAATTTTCTCAGATTTTTTAGACCATATTTCTCGATTTGGCCTCCAAATGACCTTTATACGACCTTTAGATGTCTTTGAATGGTAAAAATAGCAGCGGCTTTTAACTCCGCTACCCCAAAAACATACGTATGAATTTTTCAAATTTTTTAGACCATTTTTGGCCATTTGACCTTCAAATTACCTCGAACTTGACGTGATGGAGCTTAGCCAACCTCGGATTCGGAATCAGCGATCCAAAAAACCTATCAGTACCCTGGTTAGGTCCGGTGATTATTCTTAGATCAAATGTTGACCTGTGTAATCTATCACAAGTCCCGGCTTTTGTTACAATAGTTTTTATTTCGTGCGTGTCATTGGCGGTTTAATTTTATTGTGAATTTCAGTTGTTTTAGATTAATTCTATGTAGGTGTAGAAATAGCTGGCGCAAATATTCTTAGAAAGAGATCGAAAAATGGCCATTTTAATTCTACAACTCCTAAATAAATTGCAATTTTTTTACCGATGTTTGCAACGTACTTCGATGTTTTAAGAGTTTCACCATCGATGGGGAAATATCGAATATCGATCATCAACATCGATGTTCTACAGACATCGACATATCGGGCATTCTTACGGCAAACGCTTCGTTATTGAGAAAAAAGGTGATAAAGTTTTATTATGGCTTTCTGTCTCTCTATGCATCCACCTCTCATCTATCTCTCCATCTACCTGTCATATATATTTCTATTTCAGTTTTAATCAATATATTAATCATTCAATTAATCAGGATATCTTCATAGCTCTGATCCAGTCAACTTCCACGCCGACCATCCTTTCTTGTACTTCATTAAATCAAATGGTTTAATTCTTTTTGCTGGACGCTTCACGAATCCATAATAAAATAGAGTGTAAAGTAAAAGAAGAAAATGATACCGCATTCGGCGCCCGCTAATTCATGACAAATGTATTTTAACTAATCTGTGCCATGGAAAACAAAAAATAATACAGCAAAGCAAATAAAACTCAGAAGAAAGTTAACAGAAAAGAAACAATACAATGAATAACAATTGAAAGAGAAATTGATTATTACTCATATTTTGCACTGTTGAGCTTATTTCAATAAATACCCTACTGTAAATGGCACGAAAAGAGTGTAATGCTAAAATGATAATTACTTGCTTTGTTGTATTATTTTTTGTTTTCCAGGAGTACATAATTAGTCAAATTGACTAATATTTTGATGCTTTTTCTGTAATACATGTTTCACAAAAATAAACTTTATAACTAAATAATAAATAAAAAAACATATATTGCCTTTTGAAAAAAAGGTTGACTATCGCTTAAAAAATAATAATAAATACGTTCCAATAGACTCACTATGTAGTGTATTTAGAGCCATTTCATACGATTTTTTGTTTTTTAAAATCAGATTATAAATGACGGGGTTATGGCTTGCAATGTAAACACAGACTTATTTCTTACTTAAACATGTAGGTCGCTAAGAATGTCTGAAATGAACTTTTTTACAGCATATAAAGTGGGGTTTAATAAAACTCCGTTTTCTCAATTCTGTAGGTACCTATAAAAAGTATGACAAAAAAACAAAAAATTGCGATAGCCTTTCTTAGTGACCTCAAAAATAAATTTTCACTGAAATATTTAAAAAAGTGAAGTTATCTTAAACAAATAAAGTAACTAGATCTAAATGGGTTTAAATTTTATCCAAAGAAGCTATACCCATAAGGTATGTATAACCCCTTCGCTCTCAGACATCCTGTATTGTCTGGGATAGCTTCTTTTTTGTGGCGATTTATAATAGTTATACATAATTATATAATAATAAATAGTCCATAAATTGCAAGTAAAATATTTAATACAAGGTTACGACTTTTTTACTGTCCAATACAGGTATCTTTCTTATTTTAAGAGATACGGAAATGGTTAAATGAGCAAAAATGTGCGGAATTTTATGCCGATCACGGATTCGTTTTTAAATTAAAAAAAAAATTCCTAATGGTTCCGATGATATTCGAAGGAAAACAATTGTGTGCTATTTCTATTTTTAGTCGTATTTCACTTGTTTTTCAAAATTTTAGAGCAAATATGTGTAATCTGATATTAAATGATGTGAGGAATCAATTTTTGCTGACAGTATTTAAGTGCTGAGCGATAGTTAACTTTTTTGTTATAGACGTCCTATTGAATTTTTACCTCATTAGAAGAAAATGAAGATTCTCTTTATAACGATGTATAATTTACGGGGTTTTCATAAATAAAAAGCCAGGATATTGAATATGATATAATTTTAATAAAGAAAGTCAAGTAGCCATCTTTTTAACCATTTTTTTTATAAATTAATTTAATATTATATTTTAATACTTTTTAACACAGCAACTTTTATTTACATAACAATACAAGAGCATCGAACCAAACAACACAGGTCTTATTCCTTCGAATGCGTTCTTTCTCAATCTCGCACTGCTCTGCCCGAGACAGAAATCTAAAGCATCTTACACTACTTACACTAGCGTATAAATGGTACTTACAGCACGCTTTATATAATGTACTATTTACAATCTTTTTTCTCTCGAGCACCTCTCTATCTATTTGTTTATCTACACATATTTCTATTTCAGTTTTAGTCAACAAAATTGATTCTGTTGGGCCTATTTATGAGGATAAACCGGTTCTGTTCCACGCCGACCATCCATACCTGTATCTTATTAAATCAAACGGAGTAATTCTTTTCGCTGGTCGTTTCACACGTCCATAACAACATAACATATACATATTTATAATAACTAAATATTTTTATTGTGTTACTGATGCTTTTAATTTTGTTTACGATATGATGCATATTCATTTTTTTAGATAGGTAATTCAAAAAATGTTCAAAAATAAAACGTAACATGTAAGCAATAGATATTCCTGTTCTAGTTATGAATTTTTTATATATAAAAATATATTTAAAAAAATATGTAACGGTAGTTGGACTCAGGCATGTATCAAGAACAATGTAATGTAACTCCATCACGTAACATGATCGAGTTGAGAATGGCACAGTGCAACAATGTAACAACACAATATCACATCACTCCTTTCCATCCGTTGTCATTTTAGTAGTGTCGCATCTAATAAATGTTGGGCTTCTAAAGTCACGCTAACTTTTTGCTTGTCTGGACATGTCATGTATCATCACTAAAGCGTTGCGATGTTACGCGTTGTTGCAGTATGCGGTCATGTTACGCGACGGAGTTGCGTTACGATGTTATGTTACATGTATGAACATAGTTTTACATTGTCGAAAATTATTGGACAATCATACCTGTGATCTGCATCTCAAATTCGATACATCAGAATTGATATTTCGGTTATTGTATAAGATAAAAAGGCTTAAATTTCATTTTCTTTATTTGATTCACTAAAATTAGAAATTTTTTGAACGAATTCACCAAAGATAGCCAAAAATAACCAAGTGAAAAACAAAATACGAACTTTAAAATAATGCGAGTAAATTTTAATTAAAAAAGTGTCCTTAAAAATAAAGAATTCGTCAAATGAATATGCTATGGAGCAAAAAATTATACATTTCACAATAGTTTTATTTATAGCAAGCGAGATGTTGATATATCGAATTTGGGACACATTGTATTTTTCAAAAATTCATAAAATTTTAACAAATCTGTTTCTAACTAGAATAAACACAAGCTTTTACATTACATTTTCCTCGTTGTTTTTATTATAAGAGTGTTGTATTATTTCACCGCTAAATTGTACAGATTCTCTAACCAGAAATAAAAGAATAACTTTTGGGGCACAAACGCTTTGTTATTGAGATATGGTTTTGTTATTTTTTATTACAACTTTCATTATTTACATCTGTTCATCTTCTTCTTTCATGTACCTTTCTACCTCTTTCTATTTCTATTTCAGTAATAATGAACAAGATATATGGATCTATTGATCGTACTCATCCAGTATACTTTCATGCTGACTATCCATTTCTGTATTTTATTAAATCGAATGGATTAATTACTTTCACAGGACGTTTCACAAATCCGTAATCCGTAATATACATGTATGTATAAACAAGGGTAACATAATACATAGAGTGATTGTGAAAAATATGTAAACATTTCTATATTGTATAGAAATTTATACTTGATGTTTTTGATGTGTCGCCTGAAATGCATGCAAATACATTTTTGAGGTATATTTTTAAAATATGTTCAAAATTAGAACTAAAAAACCTGTTTGCACTCAATCAATATTATTTTTGTTTATTCACGTTTTTCTTTTGTATAAGTGGACTTTTTAATAAAATACGCTTTAAACAAATCTATGTATAAATCGACACAAATAAGTTTGCGTCTGAAACAGCTCCGCCCACATATGCGCACTGAATAGGACAAGGGAAATGCTTTAGTCCCAAATCATCTCATTCCTTCTAGTCGAATGCACTCTTTCTCAATTTCGCCCGGGTTGGAAACGCAAACTTATTTGTGTCGATAATAGTCGCAGTTTTATTCTTAGACAAGTCCACAATTCGAAAAATAACAAAGCAATACAAAAAAAAGTGAAATGAAAATTAATATTAATTGATACATATTTTACAATAACGAATTTTTTCATATATATCAATGAAAATTATTATAGACAGATTTTTAGGGTCACTGAAGGTGAACACAGACATATTTCTTACTTAAACATAAGAATGTTTGAAATGTTATACTTTTTACAGTATATAAAGTGGGGTTTAATAAAACTGCGTTTTCTCAAATCTGTAGATACCTATAAAAAGTATGACAAAAAACAAAAAATTGCGATAGCCTTTCTTCGTGACCTCCAAATAAATTCTCTAAAATATTTAAAAAAGTGAAGTTACTTTAAACAAATAAAGTAACTAGATTTAAATGGTTTTAAATTTTATCCAAAGAAGCTGTACCCATAAAATATGTATGTCCCCTTCGCTCTCAGACACCGTGTATTGTCTGGGGTAGCTTCTATTTTTGTGGCGTTTAGGTATACTAAAAATAATAAATTGCAAGTAAAATATTTAATGCAAGGTTACGACTGTTTAACTGTCCAATACAAGTGTCTTTGTTATTTTAAGAGATAAAAGATTGTTAAATGAGGAAAATTGTGCAGAATTTTATGCCGATCACGGATTCGTTTTTAAATTAAAAAAATTCCGAATGGTTCCGAAGATATTCGAAGGAAAACAATTTTGTGCTATTTCTATTTTTAGTCGTATTTCACTTGTTTTCAAAATTTTAGAGCAAATATGTGTAGTCTGTTATTAAATGATGTGAGGAATCAAATTTTGCTGTTAGTATTTACGTATCTCTAAAAATGTGTGTTGAGCGATAGTTAACTTTTGTTTTTGTTATGGACGCCATATTGAATTTTTACCTCATTAGAAGAAAAAGGAAATTCTCTTTAAAACGATGTACAATTTATGGGATTTTTCATAAATGAAATGAATGAATATAATGAATGAATATAATTATAATTTTAATTAAAAAAAGTCAAGTAGCCATCTTATGATTTTTTTTATAAATTAGTTTAATATTACTTATTTTTAATACTTTTTAACACAACAACCTTTATTTACATAACAATACAAGAGCAACGAACAAAACAACATAGGTCTGATTCCTTCGAACGCGTTCTTTCTCAATCTCACACTGCTCTGCCCGAGACAGAAATCTAAAGCATCTTACACTACTTACACTAGCGTATAAATGGTACTTACAGCACGCTTTATATAATGTACTATTTACAATCTTTTTTCTCTCGAGCACCTCTCTATCTATTTGTTTATCTACACATATTTCTATTTCAGTTTTAGTCAACAAAATTGATTCTGTTGGGCCTATTTATGAGGATAAACCGGTTCTGTTCCACGCCGACCATCCATACCTGTATCTTATTAAATCAAACGGAGTAATTCTTTTCGCTGGTCGTTTCACACGTCCATAACAACATAACATATACATATTTATAATAACTAAATATTTTTATTGTGTTACTGATGCTTTTAATTTTGTTTACGATATGATGCATATTCATTTTTTTAGATAGGTAATTCAAAAAATGTTCAAAAATAAAACGTAACATGAAAGCAATAGATATTGCTGTTCTAGTTATGAATTTTTTTATATATAAATATATATTTAAAAAATTATGTAACGGTAGTTAGACTCAGGCATGCATCAAGAACAATGTAATGTAACTCCATTATGTAACATGATCGAGTTGAGAATGGCACAGTGCAACAATGTAACAACACAATATCACATCACTCCTTTCCATCTGTTATCGTTTTAGTATTGTCGCATCTAATAAATGTTGGGCTTCTAAAATCACGCTAACTTTTTGCTTTTCTGGACATGCCATGTATCATCACTAAAACGTTGCGATGTTATGCCTTGTTGCAGTATGCGGTCATGTTACGCGACGGAGTTGCGTTACGATATTCTGTTACGTGTTTGAACATAGTTTTACATTGTCGAAAATTATTGGATAATCGTACCTGTGATCTGCATCTCAAATTCGATACATCAGAATTGATATTTCGGTTATTGTATAAGATAGAAAGATGCTTAAATTTCATTTTCTTTATTTGATTCACTAAAATTAGAAATTTTTTGAACGAATTCACCAAAGATAGCCAAAAATAACCAAGTGAAAAAAAAAAGAACTTTAAAATAATGCGAGTAAATTTTTATTAAAAAAGTGTCTTTAAAAATAAAAAATTCGTCAAATGAATATGCTATGGAGCAGAAAATTATACATTTCACAATAGTTTTATTTATAGCAAGCGAGATGTTGATGTATCCAATTTGAGACACATTGTATTTTTCAAAAATTCATAAAATTTTAACAAATCTGTTTCTAACTAGAATAAACACAAGCTTTTACATTACATTTTCCTCGTTGTTTTTATTATAAGAGTGTTGCATTATTTCACCGCTAAATTGTACAGATTCTCTAACCAGAAATAAAAGAATAACTTTTGGGGCTCAAACGCTTTGTTATTGAGATATGGTTTTGTTATTTTTTATTACAACTTTCATTATTGACATCTGTTCATCTTCTTTCATGTATCTTTCTATCTACCTATTTCTATTTCTATTTCTATTTCTATTTCTATTTCTATTTCTATTTCTATTTCTATTTCTATTTCAGTGTTAATGAACAAGATATCTGGATCTATTGATCGCCCTCATCCAGTATACTTCCATGCTGACCATCCATTTCTGTATTTTATAAAATCGAACGGATTAATTATTTTCACAGGACGTTTCACAAATCCGTAATGTACATATATAAACAAGGGTAACATAATACATAGTGATTGTGAAAAATATGTAAACATTTTTACATTGTATAGAAATTTATAGTTGATGTTTTTGATGTTTCGTCTGAAATGCATGCAAATAAATTTTTGAGGTATATTTTTAAAAAAAGTTCAAAACTAGAACAGAAAAACCTGTTTGCAATTAATCGATATTATTCAATGCTTTTGTTTATTCACGTTTTTCTTTTGTATAAGTGGACGTTTTAATAAAATACGTTTTACGCAAATATATGTACAAATCGACACAAATAAGTTTGCGTCTGAAATAGTCTCGGCCACATATTCGCACTGGACACGACATGGGAAACGCTTCATAATCTCATTCCTTCTAGTCGAATGCACTCTTTTTCAATTTCGCCTATGCTGGAAACGCAAACTTATTTGTGTCGATAGTAGTCGCAGTTTTATTCTTAGAAGTGTCCAAAATTCGAAAAATAACACAGTCCTA